AAGGAAATTCTGAAGAAAAGACAACAAAAAAAAAGGCTTGTATTGTTTCCCAGTCCAAGCCTTGATTGCACTTTGCAGTTTTTTAGTCTAAAATAACACTGAAAATTAAAGCCATCTTGTAGTTCGTCCAAGTAAAGTTTTTATCGGCCTTCCACTGCATTTTAACTCTCAATAAAAATTCGATTGTTGACTTCGGCGGCAAAATAAAAGCCTTGGTTGACTAAATACAGCTTCTTCTAAACAATGTTCTGCCATTAAATTCTGAAGCCATTACACTGTACCGGTACAGTGTAAACGGAATGGCTAAACGAAACAATTTGGAACCGCGACAGTGTAAACACTTGCGAACCGTAACGGTACAAAATTGTCCCAGGACAGTGTAAACGGGGTCTTAAGCAAAATGTCCAACACGCGCACATTTGCGGCAACTTTGAGTCTTGGCGGGGCAAGAGGAAGTACGATGAGGCCATGAAAAGCCACAGTTAAAACAGTTTTTCGACTGAGGTTTACGAACCAGCTAAGCAGTTTCCACTTGTATGGGACTTTTTTATATATCTTTAGTTTGTGTATCGCTGGCTTCTAGAATAGGTGCTTTTGATAACAACACGGCAAGTGTAAGCTTCTCTTCCCGCAAAGAAAGCCTTCTGGGTTGCTTAGACGAGCAGTTTTTTATAATCGCAGATTTAATTTCCTTATCTAAATCTGTAAATTCAGCATTTGTAGCAAGTTTGCGAAGTCGTGTAGCAAATTGATCAGTAGTTCCTCCAGCCTTCTGTTTGGCTTGTTGAAATTGAAAAATTTAAAAGTCGACATTTTTCTGCGAAGCAAAGTAAGTGTCAAGTTTTGCCGACGCTATCTTGTAATCTGTAGCTCAATCTTGCTCAACTGGGAGGGAATCGAAAATTTCTTGAGTGGTGGCACCTGCTTGGTACAATAGTAAGGCACGTTTCTGAGCATCATCAGTTATATTTACCGCAAGTAAATACGTTTCGAAACGGCGTTTCTATTGTTGCCATCGTTGGCTTATGGACGTCGGGTCTGACACAGAGTCGAATGGTGGAAGCGGTAATAAATCTAATCGTGCTGCTGTCGCCATCTTAAGTTCTGAAACTTAACAGAACTGGCATGTGCTTTCCCTCCATGTTATCTGCTTTTTGTTTTAATCCTCGTCGCCAAATGTTATGTTGTTAAAAAGGGCCTAATCATGTGCTCACAAATTATACGTTCTCTTTCTTGGCCTCGTGCTCTGCAACTAACTAAGTACTGTTACGTCATAATATGTTAATTTATTCAAAACATGCAAGTATCTCTAGAAAGCTGGCTTCTCCGCAATTACTTTTGGAAGGTCTTCAAGGAAAATGCCGACAAATTCAATCTATTGAAATCTTTCTTACTGACCGTCAATTTAGTGTCCAAATTGTTGCTGCTTCGCAGACCTCTTCCACATCTGGTGTTCCACAAGAATCAGTCATTTCACCTTTCGATCAATTTTCATCTCTGTTCTACTTTAAAACTTTTATATACTTCTGTCGATAAAAATTATTTGCATTGTTTCTTCAAAATGAATACAAAATGCAAATCTAGAAATGAATTAAAAGAGTGTTGCAAGTACAGCTTTGTTTATTATAAAACCGCAACTGCTCTTTGAAATCTTCAATCACGCTTTTTTGTGTTATTTCTAGCACTGGACAATTTCCAACAGTATTGAATTTCTAACAGTAAAAATGTGCTATTAGCCGACAGGGCTTAAAATAAGCGTGAATCTGACATACTTTGTGGAGTTGTAAATTAGAATTGTGGAACTGTAACTGTAGAAAGTGTGGATTTGTAAATGATGCATGTTCTTAAAAGTGCAACATAGAATACCAATCAAAATGCCTAAGAAAAAATAGGAACATTTTTTCAATTCGTGAATGCTCAATCCCAGCCTTATGTATTGCACTCATTTTTTATAAGAAAATTGCGATAAGAAATAAGCAATGGACAATAAAAAAGAATTAAGAAACTTCAGAACTCAAATGAAACTTCAGAATTACATGCGGAGAAAAATCAATTGCGCTTTATGATATTGTTGTCTGCTATTTTGAAGTAAGATGGACTCTGTATACAGCTTTGATTTCAAGACATCATCTTAATTTAGTTTGCTTTTATGATTTGCTTCAAAAAAGACTCTGGGCCTATAGACCAAGACCGAGATTATGATCTCCTGTCCGTAATGTATTTTGGGGTTTATGTGATATCTTTCAGTAGATTTCAGAAAAAGCTATAAAGCAATTCAACTAAGGTGTTTTAAATTGGAGAAGCATTGGAAAAATTCCTCTCAAAGCTACAGCAGCTGAACGATGATAAGCCTCTCGGTGGTAGCTGGGAGGAAAATTCAATTGGGAATGTTGCATGACAGGGACTTTAGTCCTCCCCAACTTTTTTGCAATAATTGGTTAGAAAATGTCTTGAAAATTTACGCTAACGAACGCATTAGTAGCAGTTCTGCTGGGAACACGTTTTTGTTCTTTTGATGGTGCTTTATCTTGTGTGGTCAAAGATAAATTTGTATTTTATCTAACTCGGTTTTGTATTTTTATGTTAATTAAAATCTTCTCTAAATGGTTATGTTTATGAATAAGGACAGATAGAAGCGGATATTTTCTGAAAGGAGTGTTTCCGGTGTTTCAAAGGGCGTGGCCGTACAAAAATTTAGGGGCAAGTTTCCTGATCCCGTTCCAGCCACTCCATTATGGGCTGGTGCCAGTGTGACGTGATCTAGCGTAATATTAGCATAATATTGGCCAAAAATCGTCATTTAGCATAAAATCTAGCATAATTTGGAATCGAGCTAACTCTGGCATAACTCTGATATTATTTAAAAGAATCATTGTTTCCATTGATCCATTGTCAATCGTTACCAAATCGAAACACTTTAAACCAGCATCTGTGGCTTCATTTTGGGGTAAATTGTGACTTTCCACCTTCAGGATTTTGTCAATTGTTTTGAATGGTTGGCAGCCACGTATTTTGTGGTTGGCAGCCAAATGCAGCCAGCTAAACGCAGTATACAAAAAAGCTAAATTTTTGCTAATTATTGGGAGTGATATCGTAATCAAAATTTCCTTCGCAGGTTACAAAAGTTTTCACTTGCTTTTATCAAAAACTGTCTGTTATCATTTACTTTGTTTCATCATTTATCATTTGCAATTTTGAAATTATTTTGAAAAGTTTTGAATTTTTATCTGTGCAAAAATTTTTGTTTCCTTTTCATTTTCGTTGTTTTTTTAAACATGCGGCCAGAATTCAGCCAAATTTTGCTTCTTCGGCCAAATCAATATGTGGCGGCCAAGGGGTTTTGAGAAACTACCAAAATGGAGAAATTTGGTCATCAGACCATGAATCTAAATTGCCTTCTTGTTTATGAATAATGAGTACACTGGGTTGTCAAAAAGGCCAAATTGCAACTCTGGCCACTTTTGATATTATGAGCATGCATTAGCCTCTTTCTCGAGCAGGGTTGCCTTTATTTGAAATCTAGCATAATTTTTCGCAAATCTAGCACAATCTAATGACAAATTTGGCGAAATTCCAAAATTGAGATCTGGTGCGTGGTTTCTGCATTTCAAACAAAATGGGGGTAAAGGTCATGCCTTCAAGCTAGGCGAAAAGAGAATAAGAAGAAACAAGCACAATTGTACATCAGTGAGAGAAGAGTTTATTTGCCATCTGTAACGAGGTTTTCGTTTATAGTACCAAAACGTTTTGAAGAACAGATTTGATGGCAAAGAATTTGATGAGCTGAATGCAGTTAAGAACTTTCTATAAGTAAAAGAGACTTTAGAAAGCTTCACCCAGCCTTTGTCCCAGACAAAATATTTCATTCAATCATGCATTAAATTTTGAGAAATAAACGATTAAGATCGCAGAGATCTGAGACTTGTTCTCAGAGGAATTCTACCAGACGAGACAAGGGCTCGGATTCTCGCAGCAAACCCTAATCCTATCGATGTAGAGATGCTGATTCCCACCTACAACAAGAAAGAGGCAGGGGGGGAAAGCAGCATAGCTCCAGAAAAACTTAACAAACACATAAATATTGCAATGAATATGCTTGATCTAGCAAATTTTCGAGTTCCGAGAAAAGCTGCAAAGATATGGCTCCCAAAAACCAAAAGACACCAAAGTCTTGCAAGCAAGGCTGATTTAAGGGAGTTTTTGAAGGGGGAAGGAATCAAAAAATAACTTTGACAGAGATCCGAACAAACCATGTAAAAGAGTTTCCTTTCGATAACTTTTTGCTCACATATTAAGACATCGCTATATGTAGCTAATTTTCTCATTAACCCAGTCCATATATTGTAAAGAATCAGCTTTTGCTACTTATACTTCATTCATTAAATAATTTGCCCAATTAGGACATGCTATTTGCACTATGATGGTAGCTTCTAAATTGGCCACCCTAATGATGCCAATCCCAGCAAAGTACCACGCCCAATTTTTATAAAAAGTGTGGATTTGTGAAACTTTCTTATTTTAGGCCCTGTTAGCCGAGTTATTTAGGCTGAACATCCTTCTTCCTAAATGAAAAATCTTGCAAAATACACGCAAATTTTCTTCGTTCGTTGCTTGGCATTCAAACCAGGCCAGAGATCGCTGGAGCGGGGGGCTTTAGCCCTATCAATAGTTTTCAAAATGTACTTAAAACTATACAAATATTGCCCTGCTCTTGTTTTTTAGTATGTTTAGCCCCGTATCCCCCACCCCCCATCCCCCCACAAAAATATATTTAAGCCCTTTCGCTCTGTATTATGCTCTGCAGTCTTTGTAAATTACAAAGTAAAGCATTCTCAAAATCATAAAATCAAATAAAATAGTTATGTATTTTATGAAAAGCATTATATGTTGACTCCGATGCATTTTTATGTTGAATACAAGACTACCTATTCTAAATTGAGCACTTTGCTTTAATACGTAGACGTAATCTTTAATGTATTCCGGTGAATGCAAAAGAAAGTTTTTGTTGACGTATGGGTAATGAAATACCTTGTTGATCAATACTTGCAGAAATTTCTTTGAAATGCATTCTTAGCAAAAACCAACTTTTTATTGTGTAAAAAAAATTCATTGAAGTTTGTGTAATGGTTCCTAGAAGATTCCATTAAATCAATTTCTGTAATGACGAAACAGGCAAAATGATGATGATGCAGAGTTTTATGTTGTTTAACCCAGATCTTTATAAAAATAAATCATTAAAATGAAAGAAGAACTGTATATGACGTAATGAGAAACTTCCATGCACAATATGACGTCACAAATCAAAATTTGCATTATTCAAGCTACATAATAGTGGCATGGTGACGTATTATATGTGAATTGGCTTATTTTAAGCGATGCATGTTTGTCTGCAACAAGACTGAGATAGAACAAATAGAGTACACAGATAGAAAATTTATAGAAAAACAGGATAGTTCATTAAAATTTTTGTTCCAAGATCATTCACTAGTCCAATTCAATCTATTAAATTTTTGCAAGCACAGTCTCAATTCATGTTTGAAATATGTCGCTCTAAAGAAAGATATCAAACGTTCATGAAGCTAAAATTGCTAGACGTTTCGTCTCATCTAGTTTGTTTACTTTTAAATCACCGGTGTTAACCAGTTTGTTTCTTATACCGTTTTAAGTACGATTGATTGAAGAGTTTCAAGACCTTGCCACCTTGCGAATTCAAACTTAACACTTATATCAACCCCGAGCATACACCTGCACGCTAATGGCTCCAAGATCCTAGACTTTTTTATCACTAAAGGGAATACGCAAACAGAGGCTTCGGGCTAGTGGCTGGCGAGAAGCCGTGTAATGTTCAACAGGAGATACCTTTACCGTTGAATATATCTTCCATGTCTGTTTACAATAAAACTAGAAAGTGGATATTTGTTGACAGCGAAAAGACAAAGGATTTCAAAGAGCTTATTTCTTTTTGTGGCTGATTAATCGATCTTGTTGGCTATATATTTGAAGCAAAATCAGACAGTAGCCATTTGCCGAGGTGGCCTCGCACAGTTGAATCTCATAAAAGCGTCTGGTACTAAGCGTGAGTTTAAGGTGAGTCATTTACGAAGAGTTCTTTACAAAGTTTTTTTTGAATTTATATATATCATAAAACCGTGATAATGAAAATGATTAGAATATTTCGAATCATGAAATTTTGAGCAAGTTGTCGTATTTTTCATAATACTTTTTATGGTAATTCATTCATTTGAAAAAAACTTGTTAAACATTTTAATCAACCAATATCAAAATCGAACAGTCACTGGAGTGGTCATTTATTGCTTTCAAAGATATGCATCAACTACAGATCTTCCACAAATGATGTTTTTGTCGAAACGCCAATTCTTAAAGAATCATTTTTCTTAAAAGTGTAACCTTAAAAGAAGTCAGAAACAACTCCACCAGTCGGAACGATAGAACCACAACGTTTAAACCAGCTCAAATAGATGTTTTTAGTTTCGTATCGGCGAAGAATGATTCAAGGTATCAAATCAAAAGTATTCTAATAATTTCAAAATTTATAGACGTAACTGTTAAAATGGGAGACATTATCTTACAATGTTCTGCTTTTTCTAGCTTTGATCCATCTATCATAAGAGGGAAAAAGCCATATGATTAATTTGTTTTTTATAAATGGCGCACTTTGTGATTGATAAGATTTTGAGCTTCGCTTACTTTTACAAATATGAGCTTCATGACGAATTAGCAGTTATAGTTTGCAAAATATAAATTTATGATAAAGTACAATTTAAAGGATTATATTAAGCATAAAGGCTTTCATCGAACAGATTTCCAAACCAGTTTTGTAGGAAGTTGCTCTACTGGTTTTCAATGCATCGTGTTCTTAAAGTAGTTTCAGTTTTTCGACGGCCTTTAATAAATTTCTAGCTTAAACGATTTTTCCTTTAAATTCTGTTAAATGATCTTTCACAGCAAATCTTGTAGCAGAGTTTAGTTAACGTCGCTATAATCAATGAACACACATTCTTCATTGTTGTTGATGACCATAGACAATATTTTAATAGATTTCCACGCCAAAGACACACAAATCGATATTTTTAAAGCTCTTCCACATCCTGTCATCTTTAAGGGAAAAATTGACGTATTTTGACAGGCTCCTCCACATTCTACTCTTTATGAAGGGAAAAATTGACGTATTGCTACTCTTTCTCGTTACATGATCTTCAGTTTTCTTTTGATTGAAGAATACCTTTTTACAGTAGTCATACCAAATAGAAACACATTTCTAAACCCTGTTCTTACAAAAGAAGGTAGAAATAGCGAAGAAGAGATATCATTATTTTGAAATTTTTACCAAACAATGAAAAGCTTTCTCGCAATGAATGGAAAGGCTCGGCAGATTGTGCATGGTCACAACGCCAACACACCAACACGTCATCGCACAACCATATCACCGTGCCAAAATACTACAACACAACAAAACTTCCACGCAACAATACCACCACGCAACAATACCACCATGCAACAATACCAACAGGCCACAATCTTGCTACGCACCACGCAAGATATGTAATTTACAGAAAGCAAACCATTTTCATTCTAGCATTAACTTCTATCTTGCGTCATTTTCATTTATTATAAAAACACTTGCGAAGTTTTTTTGTAAAAATAATTGTAGCTCGCGGGATGTAGTGCAAAGTGAATAAACAGAAGTACGGATAAGTCATCTCAAACACTTGCAATTAACGATTCCGGTTAAAATCAAGTAACAGAACAAATAAACTCGAAATGCACCGATGATGTCCAGCATAAAGAATAGCTTGCAAAAATATATTCCAAAGTTTGAGGCAATTGAAAGTTTCCTTAAAGTTCCATATTTAACACCGGTGGAGTAATTTTTCATAATGATTCATCTATTGCGTCATTTCAATGTCTTTTCTCTTCATTATTTTAATATCAATTAAAAAATCACGAATTCTTATTAGCATGTTAAAAGAATTTTACAAATTATGCTGTCTTTTAATCACATTCTGTCGACTTTGGGCAGTTTCAAAGACATTCAAAGCTTTCTTTATATCATTGATGAAAATCTTTTCTAAATTTTCATTTTAGGGATATCAAGAATGCATCCAAATACGGCGAGGTGTTGCATTGTTCTTTTACTGCTTATATGTATAGCAAAAGCCATTCCTGTTGCCAACAACGAAGAGAGAAACGATTTGCTGATAAGAGATGATGTAATTGAAGAGCAGCTAAAAAAGGAAGCTTTTCGAAAACCAAAGGAGAACACTATCCATCGTGATGACAGAGACGCCAACTGGGCCTGCGCAAAATGGTCTGGGGCCCAGTGCGTGAAATGGGTTAGAGTAGGCTTTTGGTTCGGACACTAGCGAATGCAATTCTACTTGGCTGTATATATCATGGTACGAGGATAGTTACTTAGGACATTGTTTTAAGGACAGAATTATTGTATAAATATATTTCATTAAAAATAAGGATGAAGGTTATATGATTCTTATTGTTGGTGTTTTTTCAACTTCTCTTGAATACCGTATACAAAACATTCTCCATGACTGTCTTTGCTTACGTTTTCCTGCAAAAAGAGCTGAATTTTCCAAATGTTGCTAAATTTGTGTAAAGTGACAAGCTGATGCAAGGATATCATTTTTCGAAGCTAAATTTAGAATTTTAAGTACAATAAGCACATTTTAACTGAAGACATCAGAAATTTTCTAGAAGAAATCTAGGCTCTGATTACAAGTCGACTATATGTAAAAAAATTATTTCCATATCTTTCCGAAGGAATCATCTACGTCACCCAGAAAGATTGTGTAACTATTTTGCACTTTATGAGTTTAGATTAACTTAATTTGATCCGCAGATATAAACTCCGTCACACGAAACCATTCCTGGCAATCGTTAAATATTTTTCTTAAGGCGTTGCTTTTTGCCAGTCTGTTAGGTTAAAAAGCCATAGCCATTCAATGCATCTACATTGGAAACATCAAATTTGGCAGATTTATCACCTGTCCTTTCCTTTGCTGTTCCATTGTATTCCTACACAAATACTCTTTGAACAAATAGGCATGAAATAAAGAGAGAAAAAATTGGATTGTTTGAGTATGTCGACAAATAAGTAGTGAGAATTTCATAGCACGGGATTGATAAAGGCTTTGGTAACTGTAGCGAGAGTTAAAGCATGTGCTTTTTCAAGTAAACCTCGAGTAAGTAGAATATTGAGAAAAACGATTATATTTGTAGAGATAAGCCAAAGTATCCTCTGAAGCATGATAGTATTTGAAGTTTAACTGCTTCGCTAGTAATCTTGAATGAGTTACCGACCGATTTAGACAACGCAATTCTGCAGATGTTTGTTTTTAGCTTTCAGTCAATCTTTTAACTTGAGAAATCGCACCAAAAGAAGAAGAATTCAGATTGTAGTAGCATATGGAATTATTTAAGCTCATAAAGCTTACAATATATTGCTACAAAACTAGAATATGGTATAATGATACCATATGGGGCACGAGATTTCCAAACAACATAAAACAGCATAGGGTATTGTTTTATTGTTACCGACAATAATATGTTTGTAAGTGGTTTCTTACTGAAAGTTACAAAATTACCAAATACACAAATGAACAGGTACAGTTTCAATACTTTGTAGCTACGCAAGATATTCGATAACTTCGGTTCTTTACAGATAAAGAAAAGCCAGGCCTGTGGTGCTAGCGAAACGAGAAGTGCAAAACCAAAAAGAAGCAAATCTATTTTCAAATTTAAACAAGATTTTCAACGCGATAGACCGTAAGGAAGCAGATATAGTAGTATACCAGAAATATCTTCATGTATATCATTCAATAAAGGAGTGTCTAAATAAGTTTAAGTAGGGATGATTTGCTTTGTAGTAATAGAAGCAAATCTGTTCTTCAAAATTAATCAAATTTCTGTTTCAGTATGGGGCGTATCCGGAAAATATGATCATGCGCCCACTTCAAAACAAATTGTATGAGAAGAAGATGTGAAAAACTGCCTGTACCTAATGACACATGCAACCAGATATCGATCTTGCCGTGAAGAAAAGTACTAAATAATTCCTTTTGAAATAGATTTTAAGAGTATTCTCTGAATGAATTAAAAATTATTTCTCGTCTTCCGATGCTTAAACAGAACTCCTAAACAATGTTCAATGATTTTTATTAAAAAGAGATCAAGACCAACTGTAAACTGGCCTTTTCGTAGACAGGAAACTTGTTCAGTCCTTTTCAATTGAAACACGTGCGTATGGTGATGACTAAAGACATGCAGTTTTTTGAAGACACGACTTCTCAAGACGAATCTTATTCAATTTGCAATTAGATTTCTACTCGTTTCTCATTATTCGATTAGTTGTCCCAAAAAACCCATCTTTCAGCTTGAGCACGTTGTAGAGTCCAGAGATTTGGTATGAATCAACTGTTTTTACGTGTGCGTTACAAACGCAGTGCAACAGTCAATTATGAAGGAAATTTCGAAATATCTTCTTATACTATACTTTGCTGCAAGGATTTTGGTCGAATTTTTATCATGATGTCAAATGTGACTACTGCTTATCATCTTTTTTCTAGCATTTAAATTTAGCTTCCAAGGAATAATTCCTTTATGATGAAGTTTTTGAATGACCTTAGCACTGACCAAGCAGCATATCCACCGCCTCGGGTAACAAATAACAGTTTCTTTGTATCATATTGGCAATAAAATCTACAAATTTAACAAATAGGTTTTCCTTATCAACATGCAATTTAAGGCCACTTTGGATAAAGCAAAATAAATTACTTCGAGGAATTAAACTGTAAGGTCTAGTTGAAAAAAACAGAAAATGAAATAATAATTAAAAAGAACCTGGAAGCAAGGTTGCAAATTTTCAGCCCCCTTTTTTAACCATACCAACAAGTCGATAAAATGTTTTTAAGAAATATAAAAATATATACTGAAAAGCTCCTCTACAAAGCAGCAATCAACTTTCGCTTCGTCACTCTCAAAATATAATTTGTTTGCTTTAATAACGCTTTGAAGCAATTCATTCAAGCAAGAAATTTGAAACAGAATAAGTTGCCAAATCACACTTTGTCTGATATCAAATGTGCTTAAAAACTATAGAACGATAGGTTTAAGTCAAAATCTGGGCATTGAAGGGATTGAAAAGACCAAATCGGCCTTAATAATAACGCGATAAAACACAATAAAATACATCATGAAGGAACACCTAAAGGCGATAGCAATCACTAATAACAAAGATTTGATAAAAAGTTACTGATTTATTGAAAATATTATTGATTTTGATAATTCCCTTCCAAGAGTTTAACCTAAGGCTACAGCAAAAACAATCAAAGCATAAAAGTACAGGAATGACTTTTCTTAAATACTCCATTAAAAAGGGATTGGACAAATTAATTTGCGTTCATGAACTTAAACCATTCTAGAAAGAAGGTGCTTGATCAGAGAGATCCGAATCAGGTAAATGGCTGTAGAATTATTGATAAAGTTAATTTTCAGGAGTTATTGATAAAGGTAAATGCTCAGATTTATGGATCTAACAAGCGATGCCTGCTGAAGAAAAACTTGGATAATTCTCTGGTTATTAACCATCAGTGCGTTTCTAAGAACATCTGAAAACGAAAAAAACATTGATTAAAAATGGAAATTTCAAACAATAATCTTCATACTCAAATAATAAATGCGACTTCATCCTGTCACATCCTAAAATTCGCACAGGAAAAATTAACTTTCTGACAGGCTGTTGTTGAATGTAAAAATGATATTCCAGACCCAGCTTGATGTGTTTACGATTAACTTGACAGAAAATAGAAGCTTTCAAATAAAACAAAGAAAAAAACAGGCTAACGTGGGAAAGTAGAAATGAAATCAGATCATCTTATGATCATAATCGAAGGCACAACTTAGATGATTTGTATATGATCCAAAGCATAATTCACATGTCAAAAACATATTTCTCAACTAATTTTTTATTATTAGGAAATTAGCATTAGAACCAATAAATTACAGAAAGCTGTCATATCATTTCCACAAATTGAGATTTTTCATTAGGAAATGTCCTTGCGAACTGCCTATCGACAAGGCCCATCAAAACAGCAAGCTAATTGTTTATAACGGAAAGTATAGAGGAAAAATATCAGAAAAATTGACAATGAAATAATATCACAACAAGAAAACCATAAAAGAAGCAAGTGGTTACGGATAAGAATAAAAAAACTTATAGTTTTGCCGCAGACGCTCTGATACAGCAATACAAGGCTGGGTAGATAGCGCAGAACCCCCGTGGAAGAACGCGGGAGGGGGAAGAGATGGCTATTAACTACTTCAAACTACGATAAACTACCCAAAACCACCAAAAAACAAAGAATTCGACCAAAAACAAAAATCAATAATAAAATCCTTCTGCTGTGACCAACCAATGGTTACCACGAGCTACTTTCGCTGACAGTAGCACCATTAACCACATCAAACCACCTGCCTACCTTTCATTGATTTATTAAATGCGTTCCAATTTGAACCAAATGCGTTCATATTAAAGAGCAGTGCACTACTTTGGCTTGAAATGAGATGGGTAAATTTGAAATCAAAGTCGACAGTGAACTTGACTAAATCGACTTCGATTAAATTCATGAAAAACGTCACGAAACCATTTTTTAATTAAAAATTGTTGATTATTCTGTTTGTCTGCTAGTAGCTTGCACGAGTGCAGTGTCGCTCAGTGAGATCATTACAAAAATCATTCATTAGAGGACGCCGTTTTGGCAATGAAGAAAAAAATAAGCTAAGATTTACACAATTTCAATAATAGTCGCAAGTTCTGCCTTCGCCGAAGCTTGCTATTTGTATCACTATACTTTTTGGACAAATCTATTGAGATTAGAAAAAAAGCTCTTTGCGGGGACCATTGCGTTGTTGCAACATGAATGATGGTAACGAGCCTGTAATAGCAGGTAACGAGCCTGTAGAAACGTTTCATTCCTTTTTGTAAAACAAGTAAAATTTATTTGATTTAATTTGTTTAAATAACTCTACAATTTTGGTAATATTCCAAAAATGAGACAGAAGAGGAAACGTATGAAGAAGAAGGCTAAGGAATTACATGTTTCTGTGCAATCCGAATCGTACAAAGACAGTCTACAGAGAGGGTCCGTGGAAGATGGGGGGGGGGCACAGGGCTTTAGTCCCCCCAATAATTTCCATGATGCACTTAAAACCCCACAAAATCGCCCTGCTCTTTGCTTTTACCGTGTATAGCCCCCCAAAAAAACATTTTAGCCCCCTCAATCTGTAATATGCTTCGCAGTATTTGTCTATAGACCTTCTTGAAAAAATATAAAAGGCCCTAAAAATCAATGGAAAAGAATAAAACAATGGGTCAAGGCGCGCGCAACCGCTAAATTTGATGTCATTTAAAGACACACCTTCTGAGACAGGCACAAGATGTCCATCCTTAAGTAAGTTGAGTTTCACATTTAATTTTATTGATGGACAATGCAACGCGATGAACTCTGTCTGACTAAAAAATTAGATTTCCCACGTAGAAGACACTTTATACTTGAATTTCTCCAGCTAGTAACTAATAAATCGTGTTTCAATTTGTTATAGTCTTAGAAGCAGAGCAGCGGTTCTCTTTCGGTAGCAACGGATCGACATATCGAATTATCATGAAAGAAACGTTTATAGCCCACGGTTACTTTCAAAGGTCACTAGAAAATGACCGAAACAATTTTGCCACATTTAGCGAGTACTTTTAAAAGGTTTCGTGAAATCGAGAAGAGAACAGAGCAAAGAAAGAAAAACATAGAACAAGACTTAACCTAAGAACCCCGTTCAAAATCAACACAGAGAAGTATCAGTATATCTCAATTAGAAATTATCTAGAGTGGAATTATAATGTAGAGTCTCTATGTCGCCTTTGTCAGGGAATATGGTTAAAACACGTGAAGGAAAGATTTATGGCACATGTTTTGATAACAAAGTTTTAAGATTTATTCATTGATCAACCCGATAAAGCAATTATATTTAGGTTTTATTAAATCAGAATATGAAATCAAGAATGAGGCTGGATTCTGTTTCTTGTTCTTTATGAAAATCGGCAGACAAGATCTGATTAGATGAATGCCAGAAACCAATTCTAGGCTGTCCTGTTGATAACATCTGACCAGTCTTTAATACACAAACGAGATGACAGGAGACATTGAATATGCTTTGACAAGAAACATATTGATTTATGTTCCTCGGTCTCTCGTCCATGCTTCTTATGCCGCAAGCTCTCAGGCTTAAAACAAACTTGGACGCCCTAATTCCATTATGTAACCAACAGATTGATAAAACGAAATTGAATTCTATGGAGGTATGAAATCTCTAGGAGAATATAGAAACTTCTGTAGCTGGAGGGGGGGGTGAACTTTTAAGTCTGAAGGCAAAAGGCAAATCAATAAAAAGGACAGTGATGTCATTGAAAAGCATAAATTCATTCTTATTTATTGCTGATGTAGGAACAATTTGATTTTGATTTGACTAGCCAAATGCAGGGGGCAGTACTACATTGCTTCTCATTCTAAATCTCTAGAAAGAAAGGATTTCAGGAAATGTACAACTTTTGTCGCCAAAGCTGAATGCTTCATAGATAGACTGAAAATTTCTGAACACCAGGGTCTAGATTCCAAGTTTGAGTTTAAACATAAGCTTTTTTAATTAAAATTCAAACAACTGAAAAAAATTTTAAAGGCAATTTTCCAAGAATGACTGCTTGAAGGACAGGACAAATCGATTGCTAATTTTTGAAGCGCCAAGTCTGATTATAAATGACTTCAGTGAAAAAAGGCGTCATAAAGACCAGTGCAAATATTGATTAAAAACTACAAGAAATTTCACAACTAATGCTTTTATTCTTTGTTCTGTCGTGTATTTCTTAAATTCAGCTTTTTCTTTCCTAACGAAAGAACAATCAGAAAATCATAATAGTAGTGTTCTTATAGCAGATAGGTAAAATTTCATCATTTCCTCAACAAGTATTAATTTCTTTGTCAATGAAAAAAGAAGGCGAAAACCATTACGATGCTTACAAATTGAATTATTCTTTTTATTAAATTTTCTTACAATTTTAAACAAAATTGAACCCTGTTTTCCAAATCAAGTTAAAAAACCTGTGGTTTACCTGTCAATGTGTCTGCCTTGCAATAGAATTTTCTACCTACATTTTAAATGCCAGGCATTCTAACACAAAACTATACTCCTTATTGCTTTCTCGGCGAGTCAGTGCCTAGGGTTTTAAATCAGCATTGTGCTATATCAGTGGTATGAGTCAAAGGGAAGTAGTATTAAAACAACCAAAACGATCAACAAATCGGGAGGGCATGAAATGCAAACATGTTTCCTGGGCTCAGCAACCAGCTAAAGAAGCTGCAAATAATGAAATATACTGAATCATGAATCGAACAAAACCTTGATTTCATCAAACACTGACACCACGATTTTATCTGACAAAGTATGACACAAAAAAGTTAGCAAGGGCCTGATACACAAGCATTATAATAAAAAGTTGTAAATTGAAAATTGCTTAAAGTAGTTCACTTGCCTTCGTATGTGTTCCCATTCCTTCGACATCTAAAAGAAATGTGTCATGTCCATATTTCCCCTCGATCAGAATCAAAGTAACATTCTCGTTTCCTGAAAGAATTTGCAAGCTTAATAAGGACATTTTACCCGAGGTTTCAACAGCTATTGAATGTCAACCTGAAGTATCAATAAATTTTTTAGTCTCATTCAATAACGATAAAAAATATAAAATTTACTTCGTTGGGCTAGAATATTTTTTCATAACATCATATGAATAAAGGGGATTTTTATGGAGGATATGAATCATAGACTTGTGAAGCGGCATACAGGGGAATTACCATTGGGTGCCTCTGCAATTAATCAAGTACAGCAAAAAAAGTTAACCTTACTGAGAAGAATAGAAGGCTTAGAAAAATAAAATGAATTGTTTTTGTTCAGAAAATAAAAGGACGAAAGATAACCTCTTAGAAATCATTTCATGACAAAGCAGAGCCTTCTACAAATATTAAAAAGCAAAACGGCCCAAAATTTCTTGGCGAAGGCTAAATTGCGAAGGCAAAATGGCGAAATGGCGAAGGCAAAATTTCTTGGCGAAGGCTAAAGGTGCAAAAAAAATTCGTGTTTATTGTACAATTTTTTTGCAAAGCAACTATTCGCATTTGAAAGCAAACGATTCTTGTATTGAAGGTGATTTGAGACTGAATTGTGAAATGTAAAACTGCATCGCTAGGGAATAAGTCGCATTCCGAGCCATTCAAAGAGCCTGTTATGATATCATGCACTGCTCCCGCGGCAACGCAAGGAACCTTTACAGCGCCTTTTTTTGTTATGGCTTTAGCATAATGAAAACAATTTCAAATTAAATTTGGAGCCAATTTTCGACTCAAAGAGATTTACAACATTCGTTTGGCTTTTGATCACTTTCAATTAAGACACTGCTTTTTTAGCATTGGCAGAGGCGTAGATATTTGCCTAGGCGTTGTTAAAGTTTTACTGTTAAGACGCGTCAATATGAAATTTTGAAAGTGACTCATCGAAGAAATTGATTGAAAGGCGCACGACGGCATGAATTATTGAGCAAAGTAGATCAAAATTTTCCCTGATTGATGAAAACGTCTTTCCTCGATAGCGTTGTCTTGAAAGGAACACAATTAGCCGGCGTAAACAATTCCTCATCCAAAGATTACCATTCTCGGAAAAAGATGAACAGTGCAATGCCAACACTGATTTGTTCACATGACGTAGTAACTTCAATATAGACGAAAGTAAAAGTAATTAATTTATAAAGGAAAGCCGAGACTTGCACGATTGCAAGTTCGGCAGAGCAGTGTGTGGAAAAGAGCCTTTGGCCGCTAGATTTCCATTACCAGAAAAAAGCTACAAAACTGCAAAAATACCCTTCTAATCTACTTTTAAACGATTTTTCTAAAGTTTTGCTCCTTCGAGTACAAAATGTTCTTAGACAAAGCACTCTAAGAAAAAATTATTTTTGATGAAGAAGAGGTATGCAAGGTGTCTTGCTTAACATTAAAATGTCTGTCTCTATACATTGCCTCATTTATGCTCTAACTAAGGCAACACATTGCCCTTGTGAATGGCAAATACGACACGTCACGATATTTCTTTAGAAGCGGGCGCCGGAATGTCATTTGCGCGTAAATTTCAAATTTGAAAAATCTCAAAACTATCTTTAAAAAGCTTCAAGTTGAAATCAAGTTAATTTTAAACGATAGAGAACTGTACTCGAGATGCTAGCAATTTCAGTCATGATGGTAGCAACATCACTCGAGATGACAGCAATATCCGCCAGGATGCTAGCAATATCAGTGAGGATGATAACAATATCCGTCAGGATGCTAGCAATATCAGTGGGGATGATAGCAATATCCGTCGGATGCTAGCAATATCAGTGAGGATGATAGCAATATCCGTCAGGATGATAGCAATATCAGTGGGGATGATAACAATATCCGTCAGGATGCTAGCAATATCAGTGGGGATGATAGCAATATCCGCCAGGATGCTAGCAATATCAGTGAGGATGATAGCAATATCCGTCAGGATGATAGCAATATCAGTGGGGATGATAGCAATATCATTAGGGATGATAGAAATATCCGTCAGAATGCTAGCAATATCCGTGGGGATTACAACAATATCACTCGATTCTTGTGGTAAGTACCCGGCAACCAATTTTCGAATAAGAACATACATCTTTTAATAAAAAACTGGAAGTTCGTGAATTGTAAAACGCCACAAAGAAGTTACGTAAGTCAAACATAAAGTAATGATTTTGCAGTCAATATAGACCTGCTGTTTGTAAAAAAGATACAAAAGATAATTTTTTATTGCGCCAAAAGTGACTATATAAAAGCTTATTCATTCAAACTCTTCAGCTTGTGAGATATTGATACTGTTCTTAGCCACCTTAGATACTTCCCTTCACATTTCCCTAGTCACCTTTTCCCGACAATGTGCCTTTGCGTGCTGTAAGCTTTTTCCAAGTCAATTTTGGTTACTTTGTATATAACACCTCACCTCTTCTATTATTAATCTTCCAGAAAATGTTAGATAATGTTGCGCACAATTCTTTGCACAAAAATGTTTCCGGTGGAGCGGACAATTCGGTTCACACTGGTTTCTAACAAACTGTGCCTTTGGGAATGGTTTCTTATCAATTTGTCCCTATTCCAATCCAAATTCGCTACGTTGTTCAGCAGGAAACAAAAAACAGTAAAATAAGTTTATTGAAAGCTGTATACCTGAACTCTTTAGCAATTCAGCTAGCTCAACTTGTTGAGTCGCCGGGAACAGCAAATCTGAAGATGCACCCATTATCTAGAAGATAGAGGAAGAGGACTGGGTGAACTCTAAAGAAGAGGTTTTCATACCGAAACTACCAAAGAATTATCCGCAAGTAGATAAATGAGCCCGCTTTGATGCACTCGCCATCATAGGATAATTAAATTAAGTTGGACTCAGGTCTGCACATTCAGGTTCGCAGTCGTCTGTGCCATTTTCTTTCAAAGCAAGCTTATCGGAAGCAAAATTAACAAGTAAACATGCATATTTCCACTATCTGATTGATGCTCTGCATCTAGAATATAAGCAAACAGCTTACAAGACAAGGCATTTTCATTCTAGCCACACTCTCCTCCATTGAGTTGTACCCAACACTCAGATCAAAAAGGTCCATTGCCTAAAAGAAAAAGAACTAAGGCATTTTAGGATTAAGCTGGCAGAAACTTTTGAAGTTCATTATTCCAAGTAGAAAATGTTCGTAAAAGTGAATAAAAGTTTTGTAAGAAATTGGTCGGGTAAAAATTCTGATAGGGATACCACTCTGTTTAAAAACTTTCAAAAGTAGTTATGTAAGCAGTGCCTATATTGATTACCTCGACAGTCCTCAATGGAATCTTTAGCACATGATCAGTAGATGAAAACAAAAATAAAGGATATGCCAATGAAATATACAAAGAGGTTAACCTTGCTGCTTGGAAAAAGATTTGTGGGATTGAAAAAAGTTAACATTGCTAGTCAAAACTGGTGATATGTTTAAAGAAAGGGTCAATGAATTCTAGACTGATTTACAACCAATGATTGCAGCAACATTGGAATTCAATGGATAAAGTCCTGCTACAAATATACAGTACTAAAGGGATACAAGTTTATTTATACTCATCGTCAAAACACATATAGGAAAAGCATTCCCAAGTCGTTTTATATCAGAAATATTTATAGAATAAACCTCCTCTGAATTCTTTATTTGATTGTATCGACAAATTCAGTGGTATCGGAAAAATTGATAGAAGAAAACATCTCGATTAAAACACCACTGGTGAAGTATTTTTGTGTTAAATGGATCATTTTGCTCAGAATATTACCGTTTAAAATGATTAGGTTTCAGGACAATGTGTTACTAATAAATCCATTGGCATTTTCACCAAGACATTCAGCCACCGATAACTTACCTTGGTCAAATAAAGAAGCGAATTCGGGTCGTATTGACTTTTCTGAAAAAAGTTTTCACCCTATGATAAAGCAAAAATCACATATAGAGATCACACTGATCAATACTTAAAAACGTAGTTCAAATAAATATCACATTTGTAAAGGACAATTTTGCCTAATATTTGCGCGAAAGTATGACATAGCATCAACATTTTTCAAGAAAGACAAACTTTATAATATGAGGATGAAAAATTTCAACATTTTCTTTATTAAAATTTTTGTTTCCAAATTTGTTTGAATAAAAACCAGTTCCTAGAAGTGTAAACATATTGAGAAATGGACTAGACAGGATGGAGCGTTTCTTTGCGTCTTTGATACATAAACCGTTAAATCGTTATTTAATCATTTACACTAAAACAAGTCGCATTTGATGCGTGGCAAGAACAATGTTATTGTTTCTCGAATTGATCATGCAACTTGATCAAGAAGCGAGTCCAAGCAAAGATACATGGAATATTTATAATAGACGTAGGTTTTGGGAGATGAAACCCTTTTCATTTATCCACCTTTTTAAAAAACACGAAGGCTATCAAACAATACACGAGTAAAATTGTTCTCAAATTGACTGATTCACAAAAATTACCTGGTGGCGAATGTAATCCTCGATTTCAAATTCGGCAACGTCAAGTCGAGGATACACGATGTCGCTGCTTTCTACTCTTTTTCGCCCAAATCTTTCATTCCATTCGGGACCGCTGCGGTATGTCAATGTGGCAATCTTCCTGTAACGAAATCCAAAATTGTCAAAAAGAAACTATCCAAAAGGTCGACAGCCCTTGAAAGAACATACGTCACAAAGTCTCTAAAACCTGCAAATCGGGAGGACTTGCCAATTTTTGATCTTCTAAATCCTGCAAATTTTTTGCATCCCGTTATAGCTTAATAAATTTGATCTCCTCAGAGGGAAAGTAGAACAAGAGAGAGGGAAAAAAGACAGAAATAAGAAAAAGTTTATTTAAGACACTGAGAAGCTATGCTCAATTGGCAGTGTCCTGATCCTTCCTCTCAATATGACCACACCTCGTGAAAGCTGGCGACTCAGTTTGGGTGAAATTTTGATCATGTTAGTGATTCGAACCCACGGCCCTTGGACCTGTTGTCTGCGATCCTAACCACTGAACCATCTCGTATTTATTGCTATATTGTTCAGATCATTCGGTTTTAAAATCTGCTTCACTGCTTCATTGAAAATGCATTTCATTTCATATATTTAAGGAGGGTAGGATTACAAATTAAAATTAAGTTTTTTAAAATAAACATCCATGATAAAAAGACAAAATAGTTAACATTTATTTACAACTGAGCAAGGAATTTTTAAAGTTGCTCAAGATGAGTCTTTATTTTCAGCTGAGAGGCCATTCCAAGACCTAGCACCTCCAATCGAGAAGCATTTCTGCCCATTATTGGAGTTTTCTTTGGTAGCATAAGGTCAGTTCATATATTACTAAGATTCCTAGAAGTTGGCTGCATTTTTCGGTGAAAAGATTACACATGTATTGTAGAGCAAATCCATGAAGAGATTTGAAGCCCATGATATTAGACCCACTAGTAATTAGCTCGCCTATGGTTTCTCCAGCTAAGATTCTTTATGAGTTGTTGGCCCGGTTAATCAAAACTGCTGCCGGTTACACTACGAGCAGCTCGGTTTGAAGATTTTCGTAAGTAGTTGATCTCGGTCAGACTACAACAGCGCCATACCGAACAACCATAGTGAAAGTGTGGCTCTACAATACTTATGTACATAGTCTTCAGAGTTTCTTCTTGCAGAAAGGATTTCGCATGCTTCAAAAGGCCAATTACCCTGGATACCTTAGAAGAAATGGTTTTAATGTGTTCCTTCCAATCCAATGTGTTATCGATCTGTTTACCAAGATATTTGGTCTTTTGAACAATTTCCAGCTGATTACTCTAAATGTGTCAATTTAAAGATTTATACTGATTTTAAAAAATTTATTCTTAGGTTGGTGAAAATGAGCAAGCATGTGTTTTAATTACATCAAGTGAAAGTCTGTTGCTTTTCAGCCATTTTTTAATGAATGCAAGGTAACTATTGATGGCCTCATTCAGCTGAGTCATATCATGCGATCAATGGCAAAGACTCCTGTCATCAGCATACATAGACACGTTTGATTTCTGGACAGCTAGTGGGAGGTCGTTTATATAAACGAGGAATAGGAAGAGTTCAAGACGAGCCTTTGGGTACAACAATATTAAGTTCCATAATTGATGATCCTTCAGTATATAAAGGTTAAATAAACCCATCCTAACGGATGCTGCAGAATACCGTGAAACTCTAGCTTTTTGCAGAGTTTGCCATGGTCAACCATGTCAAATGCCTTTTTCAAAATTGAAATAGGGCGATAGCTTTGTCTCCATTGTCTTTTTATTTGAAAATTGTGGCAACTCGTGCCAGTTTCCACGAGTCTGGAAAAATGTTAGTTTCAAGTGATGTATTGAACGAACAGGCCGAAGCGTTCTCAATGAGATGTAAGGCCAGTTTCAGGAAATAGCAGGAGATAATGTCATTCTCAAGGCTCTTGGATCTTTTAGCTTTTGAAACTGAATCCCCAATTTCCTGCATTTCTACCAAACTAAACTTGAAATTGACATTCTTATTAGTACTATCGAAATTCCAAGATAGAAGAGGGTTAGGGGCAGCATCGATTTTGCTGGCTGTTGGCTAATTTTTCACCAATTGTACAGAAAAAACGATTACTGTATTTGCAATCTCTATTTGTAAGCAACTGCATTGACTGAATCTTTGATTGCTAGGTCTTGATCTTTTTTCAGGAGTTCATCAATCTTTTTCATGTTTACTTCATGTCGTATTTATATTAAACAATTTTTGTAGCAAAATATTGCTTCTTAAGCTGGATATTAAGGGAGTTTACTTTATTTCGAGCCTCTCTGTATGGATATATGATTTGCAGTTATAAGAGGATTAATAACAAAGCATTAAGGTAATAAACAACCCGAATTTCAAATGCTCATGACCTTTATATACCTTGATGTGTTTCCACCAAATCAAAAGTTGATCATGTTTTATCTGATACTGCCGCCCCTAGTGTCAGCGAAAATTACTGTTGAATAGTTGAAGATGATACGAAATAAATGAAACATAGCATACTGAAGCAATATCTGTTTGACACTCTTCAGAGTATGAACCTCAAATAATGACCGAAAATAAGCAGAGAATTTATATCTATGTGTGGATCTAAAACAACATAAGAGGAAGAAAGACGCATTTGACTACTTCTTTTGTTTTTACCAACCAGCGAGACCCTTGGTTTTGTGTAAACAGATTCCAAAACTCATAAATAAAAGACAACCTTGCCTATCCAATGATTTTGAAATTGCCGTCACTATCCGTTTTGGCACACTCCGGATTTGTGGGTAAATGTTAACCAATTGCCAAATCATATTTCAATTGGGAATTTTTATTTTGCAAATATGCTGTGGCTGTTCTCTATTCGGAACTGTTATTTGCCTGATGCTCACGGGAACATGTTGTTTTGTTCTATCAAATAATAGCCAGTTGCCGGATATTCTAGAATTATTATTGGAACAACGAAAATTTCTAGAGAAAGCAGATATAAAAGAGTAAATACAATGAGCAACAAGAATTGAAAGCAATAGAGCAATCTTGAACGTTATTCAAAAAGTTAAAAGCGCCCCAAACAACAGCAGTTTTTCAAAAGTTAAAGACGTTCAAGGTTATGATGAAAGAAAAGAAACGGAAAAATCTGGTAATGTCCGGATTATCCGGCAAAATCCGGACGAATATTCCAGCAGAATTCTACGAAGAGACCCAGTAGATCCGGTTCCGGCCGGATACTAAAAATCTTGATCCGGTACACACCTATCTTGGGTGTATTTATCTTGGGCTCTTAAGTTTTGAATAGACAAGTTTTCCTTTCTTTTGAAATAAAAACAATTTCAGTGAATATATTTCCCAGAAAACATTGGTTTCCTATAAACACTGGTTGGAAATCCAGTTTCTACTCTATGCCTCGAAACACCAAGGTCAACAGTGCTTCAGTATGCTAAGCTTTCGCTATACGGTGCCATCCAGGGATATAGTCGTGGAGGGGCTCAGAGGGTTCAGCCCCCTCTTGTTAAAAATTTTAGAAAAAAGTGGGGGGCTCAGCCTTCCCAAAACGGACGGAAACGGAAAAACAGAACGGAACTTCCCAGAACGGAAAAACATCAACTTCGTCATGTTACAATTGCAAAGGATTACAAAAGTTGCTATCGCTATACAGTTGTCTCTTCAAGCAATGTTGAGCATCTAGCTTCAAGCAAAAGTACATATTGATAATTTTTAAATTTTGAAAGGGTATCCAGACAAATTTTCTTCCTATCAACAACAAAGGTGACTTTATTTTTTCAATTTCTGCCCTTTTCTTACTGCTTCCGGCGCAACAAGTAATTGAAACGAGAAGCATGATGTAAGAATTATCAATTCAACATCCTACGGTAAAAATTGCTCACAAGTGAAAGAATATTCAATAAAGATGGTGGCATTTTCTTATATTACAAGTGCTGGACATTGACAGAATGACAGATATTAAATGATGTTGTTTTGATTTTGTTATCATTTGAATGACAAAAAAGCCGTATCTTCTATTATTCAAATTCCCATTCAGCTTCCGCCTAAACTCCCAACGAGGACGACAAGTAACAGGACTGGCATATTTTTCTGCCTTCTGGACAAAATTGCTCGTCGAAGAAGATAAAACTCGGTGAAAACATTATGGGTATGGAATTCGTATTGGGATGAAAAGGGCACATACGCCATGAAAAAGGCAAGCATCGAAGGGAATTTTCTCAGATTTTCGTTTTTGCAGCCATTCTCTTTTATTTCCTATGACAAAATAAACCTATGACAAAATATTTGCGTGGAAAATTTTCCGAGTATCCACGAATATTAACGGCGAATATCCACGGTGCACTTTCCTTCGACTTTAACATTAAGGACTTATGAGATATATTTTCATTTGACTTCAAATTTAGAGAACTTTGATTAAAAAAGAAAAGATAATTTCTATTTACAGGGGTCTTTTCGCCAGTGTGAAGATAGCTAAATCAAAATACCTACAACTATTGCCTTGGAACACCAAGCAATTTGCGTTGTGTTTTTATATTTTTCAATTCTTTTCCCGTATACTCCGCACAGTGGCGTAGCGTCCGGGTATTCAAGGTATTCAGTGAATACCCTGAGATTTCTCAGAAAAAATATTAATACGACGTATATTTGTAATAACTAAAAAATGTTTTGGGGCTATTGATTTTGGTTGAATTCATTACCTTCGATATTCTACATTTTGTACAAGTACAAAATATCACGAAATTCATGGAAACAATAACGCTGCGAAGCATAGAGAAGCTGGGAGATCTTTGAAGCTAATTTTGAAGATTGAGCTACTTCATGTTCTATGGAGATCGGTCATGAATATGCAGTGAATACCCTAGACGGTACTTTAACCAATCAAAATGCTCCTTTCCATGAATAATATTTGCCGTTAATCAGCTAAAACAATGGTCCTGTACGCTGAGAAATATGCAGCGTACAGCCTCAAAGTTGGTTCAAAATAGTCTCGTTATGAGATCGATGTAAACAGTTAATGGACGTCGGAGCGGTTGGAGTGATGGAGCTGCATTGAAAACAGTAAACATGACTTAATTAAAAAACTATTGCAATGTCCGTATTACTGTTTCATAATCATTCTCTCATTTGACCCCTGATCTTAATCTACCAACAGCAAAGTGGAAAGAAAAGGTAGGCTGCTACATAATACTACACTTATTCAGATCTGTTCCCTCTTGAAATGCCAATTTGTTATTGCTTGCCAATCAGGGATGTTTCTGTTTGTATTATGTGTTAGAATTAAAGTAAATGCAGATAGGTCTGGATAATATCCTTATAGTTCCCTGGTGTATTCAGTTATCTTGTTGGCCTATTTTGTTTGCATTATTCGAGCGCATTTATTTGCATTATTGTGCAGTCTCATTTCATTACCTTGGATTCTTTCAAATATCAACTTGTATTGAAAATATCACGATTAGGCCATGAAGAAAAAAGTCTATACTGCATACCACAAAATCATTTATAACTCATGTAATGCCCTATGTGAATAATTTTGAAACTTTCGAAAGCCCTTTTGTATTAAGGTATTAAGAGTAGGTGTTTACAGTTACTTCCTCTTTACATCAGTGCAAATTTGACGATTGAACAAAAATCTATTGGGACTTATTTCGACCAGTAAAACGTTACTGACTTTCAATGATATGTTTTGATTTGAATTACTTTTGATGAAATGGTTAGTGGTAATTTGATGCAATGAATGAGTTCGAAGAGAATATTTGAAGGGTCCTTTAGCAAAGTATCGTTTTCATCATAGTAATGCCCTGACAGTGCAGTACTTGCCAACCGAACCAAAAAGAAAATTAGATAAAATGTCAATAGCTAGTCCTTTTAATCTTCCTATTATCCCCCTTTTTTCATCAAGCCCCATCAAGCCACACCCTGCCCCACCCTTTTGTTAAATAGAGAATACCCAGTTGAAAAAGTCACGCTACGCCACTGACTCCGCACCCCCTTCCCCCGAATCAATGTTGATAATTTACAAAAATATCATAAAAGAAGCGCAAAAGAAAGTGCTTCCTAAAATTCTAACCCGTTTCATAGTAAACCAACATTGTTCCGTGGGGAAGAGGAGTCTGTCTCCGCAGTATACATGTTCAAAGAATTGAGTAAGGAGAAAGAAGCATACAAAGGAAAAATGAATTGTCTGAAACAACCAAGAAAACTTAATGCAAACATTAAAAAGGCCGGTAAACCGGTTGTTTTCACTCAATATTTAATTACGTCATCTACCATTTCACAGACTCACCGCGCAAGCTGCATTCCCCTTACAGGCAAGCCTTTGCTGTAATAATGCCCTCTACGCCAAGCTGGGTCGGACATCAACGCTTGTCGTTGTATGTAACGAAAAGCAATGGCCGTTGGATGGGCAGAAACAGCGGCAGAGATGCTGACCATCCTGCAACAAGTTTAAAATCAATCAAACATTTTGCTTCAACAAAACATACAAAAAAGAGGCATATCTTGGTTCAAAAAGAAAAACTCTCAGCACACAAAGCACTAGTTATCAAACCAATCTATTCATGTGTTACAGCCAGCTGATTGTGGGCATTTCAGCATCTTAAAAATGAATGGAAAAAAAGCCTGTACCCAATTTGCAACAGCCGATCCTGGCTTAGTAGTCCCGAAGGGCAGATGTTTTTATTCCAGCCTTCGTTCCAGCCAACAGAAACGCCAATCTCAAACATTACACTCGCTCAACATTCCAAATTCACATATCCTTAACAATTTTTTTTCAAAATACATTATTGATATTGCTTGTGCTCTCGCCAATAAATGGTTTTTAAAAAGCTGTTAAAAATCTGTAGAGGTTATTGTATGGAATGAAATACGACTCCATAGAAGCATTAATGATTCCAACTATCGAATGCCATCTGACCATATTTCTTCACCTTTAACGAATACCTTGTTGACTTCCCTCCATACCACCTAGCTATTTTCAGGCTGTCGTATTTAAGGTATCATCATTTTAGCTCGTTATTTTTGTCACTTTCTTTTTTGTTTATTTTTCAATTTCTGCTAAATACACTTACGTTCAAAAAGTATTGGGACACACTTCGAAACTTCGAAGACATTTTATGCAACAAATTCGGAAAGACTTTTTTAAAACCTTTCTCATTAAAAAAGCGCGGCAGCTATTTCGATGAAATTTTCACACAACGTTGTTGATATCTTGAAGGCTTTTAGGTATGGCAAAAAATTAAAAAAACGTCGACCATAAAATTTCTATAGGTCTCGAGACGAAAACATGGAAGCTCTGAAAATTCAGGAACTGAGTTAAGAGAAGCGCTTACAAATTGCTTTCTACTAAAATAAAGCAAATGGATTTCGTGAAATTGCATCAATTGTCGGCTGCTCAATGAGTGCAGTTTTTCTGGTGTGTAAAAAGTTTTTCCGTACAAGATCAGAAAAAAGTTTAACAACGGGTGGCAGGCCGAAGAAGTTTACGACGCCGTGGGACGAAAGGTCTTTACTGAGGAACTGCGAAGTGATAGGTTTGAATCCTTACTAGAAATTATGTTGTCATGTAAAAAGAAGCTAAATACTGGAACATAAGCAAAAATATGGCTATAAAAATCATGAAAAAATACCAATTTTCCAGCTTTATAGGAAGAAAATGCTCTCTCATAACAAAAATTAAACATCGCCGACGAATACAATGGCTTCTCCTTGAATGTTACGAAATTTTAAAAGTAGCTTGAATAAATGCAATAATTTAATAAAATCGTAGCATTTTCGTCGATGAAGTAAACTTTTTTTGAAGCTTAAAAGTTTGATTTTATAATTTCTTTGATGGGTTTTTTTTTGGTTATACAAACGTGAAATTAAAAAGTTGTATTTGTTTGGACAGCTCTAAAATTTTTGGAAGGTCATGCGACTTTGCCATTGTTAGGCCATACAACCCTTCTGCATATTTTGCTGTTATAATCAGGAAAATCGCAAGAATCCTGTGTTTTCGTGGTTATGCTTCATAAGTTGAAGCATTTCCTTAACTTTTTATTCCATTTTGGGGAAACGTAGGCTTAGATTATTTGTAGAAAGACTGCCCAAATCTGAAAAAGTTTCCGTTGCAAAACCGAATCCAACGCAACGCCATAATTCGTTTATCGAATTCGTCCCAATACTTTTTGAACGTAAGTTTGTATTTTCTGCAGCGTTCATTCTCACGTTTTCGCTGTTGACGTCAGATCGTTCCAATATACTTCTCTTAACTTTCAATGATGTAGATGATTTATTAAAACAATATAATACATAAAATGTTATCCTTCAAAACAAAATTAATAGGGTAACTGGTGGACAAGACCCATTCAACCTTTAGCACTGTCAACTTTTACAAGACTGCCAGAGATGTAAGTGACTTGTTAGATTGTTAAACATAAACTATAGTTCCTTACTGGTTAGTTAGCAAATGGGGTTCGAACTTGCAATTCAAGACAATTCAGGCGACAACGCCAGCATGAATAACCTGATCTAAAAGCCGGTGCTAAAAAAACTTCTGCTTCACTTCGATCCAGGCATACATAACAACATTTTGTGATAAGTGATCAGAAAGATTCTTGTGTGAAACTTGGATCATGAATTTCTTGGTAACTGACCCGTTTCAAGCCAGGTCAGTCCCTTTCATCTCTTTTCAGTAGATTCGGATCATAGTCACCAAAAAAATTCATTTGAAAGCTGTGACAGTAAGTGGATTATGACTGTAAACAGAGTATAATTTAATAGTTTTGCGTATTTGGGTCTAAATTTTATGTGACTGTGAACGGTACTGTGACTTTAAAGCGGACTGATAATGGGTGATAATGATGGCGCCTTTATGCAACCATTTGATGAAAAAAAGCAAGGCCCACTTACTTCTTGATCCTCTGAGGATACAAGGAGGCAGCCAAGAGAGAGGCCATTCCACCAAGAGAAGAACCAACAACAGCATGAAGCTGAAAAAGAGAAACTGTTAATTAGAATTGCCTTTGTGTTGAATCTTCAAGCCTTTGTTCAAAATCACATTTTCTAAAGGAATCAAAACAATCAGCCTACAATTTTAACTTCCAATGTATTATTTCTGCTGCTCTTCAATCAAATCTAGCACTATTTCTTGCATAAGCATAAAATCTTCATGGAAAATAAAATAGGAATAATGGATGCCTTGTAAAATCGGAACTAGCATGAAAGACCAAAAGAAACAGGGTATTTATTTCCGAATGAATGAAAGAAATATCTGATTCTCCTTGCACTGGCTGCCTTCAAAGACTGGTAAAAGAACTTACACTTTTTATTCCAAGGTGATCTATGAGAAGAAACTGGGCGTCTACCAAGTCTTTTACTGAAATAATGGGGAAATCACCTCCATAGGGCTGCAAGAAAAAATAATTAATTGAAAATTGTACAAACGTTTAAACATGAAGCAAGGTTTTGAACAAATTCCAGCTCAAGAAAGATTTTAAGGGTTTTATCGAGACCCCCAAAGCCATAATCCCGCGAGGCTTATCAGACCTTAATGTTTTCTCTATCGAGATCTCCGTTCCCTTTACTTACCCTTTATCAGTTAAAACCTATTGTTGAAAGTTACTAGCTATACATTGGTTAGATTTGCCTTGTGCTCTCAGCTTCAGATGAAGGCTTGTGCTTTCAGATAAAGGATTACAACATATGGGCCTAGCATGTCAGAGGAGAAGCTGCAGAGGCAGGTGAATTGAATTGTTCTCAAATCGAACGACTGCTTCATTTTTACATTTTTGGCGAGTCATGGCTTTTGATGATTGAAATTCTTTAAAACGTATAAAATCATGGAAATGAAATGGAATATGGTAAAATCAGTTCTTTTATTTTTTCTAAAAATACTCTTTCTCGTTCCTTTCGAAAAAAAAGATTAGATCTATTATTGGTAAAGCTGTGGAGGTAAATTATGTGACCCTTAAAACTAAAAAAAAACCATGTGAGGGGCAAGTTCAAATATAAATTGAAAACTAAGTGTATAATGTATTAAATAGTTTAAATGTTCCTGTAGATTGTTCTGTTTCCTGGAAATGGTGTTTTCAATTAGAATTACTGCTGAAGCAAAATTAATAACGATCTATAAACCTATTGCGTCTTCAAGACATCCTGACAAAATCTTCAACATAAAACTAGATAGAACTGCCTACGTTAGCTTAATATCTGCAAGTAAGCGTTTTTCGATCTTTACTACTCGTTGCTTTGTACAGTAACAGAAAAAACAACAAATAATGTTGATCCTCATCAGTTCATACTTTGGCAACATTATTGAGGCATTATAAAGCTTCAATTGTGCAAATTTAGATAATTTTAATGTGCATCCTCTCCAATTTCTGCTCATTTTCTAAGTATTTGAAAATAACTTTGAAAAGGAACCATTTTAAACTTTACAGTATGTTGTAAAAGGTTTGCTTTTTTGAAAGCCATTTTCAAATTTTGTAACGCCAAAAAAATTTTCTCTTAATATTGCTCCTTTCTAGTCGCTCCAACCTTGATATACTGTGTCAATATATGCACGACGTTGTCCCCGTTAACTTACTCACTTAATAAGTTAACAAGTTATTTAGATTTTCGTTAACAAGTACGGCCATTGAAGATTGTCGTTAATACTGAATATATACATATCACAAATAAAATAATCACCAGCTTGGTGTTTGGGTTGATGGAACTTGGGCCGCTATAAGAGAAGAGAAACATTAATTAAATAAATTGCATCCGCGAAATTAGAATTCGAGCGTTTTTAGTCATGTAGCATTTACTTGGTTTCCATCCATCAAAATAAATTAAGCTCCACTAACATACACAGCTTCCAGCATTGACGCCTGAACCGTGCAATCGATGACAAAAGCTGTAAATACAGTCGTAGGCATGAAAAATTTGGTTTCTCTTCACATGAAAGTTCTAGTTCTATTCGTTAAAACCCTTGAAAATATTTGAAAAGCGTTGAGATAAAAACTCACGTGGTTCCAAAACATCCGCCTAGATGATTTGCACATATGACAAAGTATTTTTCTGTGTCAATTTTTCCGCCAGGGCCGATGAAATTCTCCCACCAGCCAGTCCTTGAATTTTCGACACCCTTTGATAAAATTACTTGTTGGACATTCATTAAGCATATGCTGTAAACTAAAACAAACTTTTGGACTTTTAGGATTGCAGAATCATAGTAAATAAAATATCTTACGCGTAATGGCCCAACAAGAGGGAGGCAACGGGGTATTGCCCCGCTTGAGTTGATACACGTTTTGTACAGACAAAATACTGGCTTCAAAAAAAACTATTGCCTGAAAATATGGCAAAAGACACTAAAACTTGAAAACTTCTCTCGTGTATATTTTCAAAATCATCTGGATAATTAATCTCATTTAATTTGAACACACGAGTGTAAGAATGACAGAACATTTTTTCCGCTTTGATATATACATTTGAGGACCTACCTGGTGACTTTTTGCATGTGAAGACCCAGAAAGACCAGAGAATATCAGAACGGCGTTGTCTTTCCTTCGGTTAAGTTTTCCCCAAGTTTCGAACGCGATTGTAATGTTCGGTAGCACCCCGCCATGTTCACATATAAATTGATAATGATGATGATAAAACTTTTCTTCAGAGAAGCTTATTCGTTCATATGATGGCTCTGGTCCATCTTGTGGTGATTTTGGTTTTTTCTGTGCGATTTCCCTAAAAGATAAACCTATTGTATCTATTTTCAATTAAAGCTACAAAAAAGAATAGAAATAAAACACGGCTCACTGCTGGCCAAAACTTTTCATCATTATAAAAAATTCTTACTAAAAGTTTTGAAAAGAAAACATTCTTGCTACATGCAAAAATCAATTTTAAGTACAACACTCGTTAGAGGGCCTAAGCACTATTGCTTAGAAGGAATTGTGCCCACCTCCCCCCAAGAAAGTGAAAATCATTTGCGTCCAATATATACAATCCCTTTTTCGTAATTTGCTTGAATTTCGGTGTAGTTACCAAAGGCTTACAGAAAATCGCATCCAGACAATAGTGGAAAAACTTCACATAGCTGACAATACAATGTTTCGAATAAAATAGATCTGTAGTACGAGAGACTTTTGAAAATATTTTGCACCAAACTTAATAGGATGAATTTTTTAAAGTTAAAATGGTTGTTATTACGGTTAATTAAAAAAGCACAATTAAAATGTATATCAAAATGGCTTGTAAATATTCAGGAAAACCAACATGAAAGTTAAGAAGCTAAAAATACATGGACAACTAATTATCTAACATCTACAATTTTCAAGCCAGCTTTCTAAAACATTTTTAAAATTGATGGTTAGTATGATAAAAATATTGCACAAAATAAGTCAAATAATAAGTTATTTACCTTTTATGTTTTTGCAGTAAGCTATATATTGCGTTACTTGAATGAAAATGTCTAGATCCTATTTTGAATTGGATAAATGTATCGCCTAAATTTCCTGTGTGTCTTTGATGGGCGGCTCCTGCAACGATGAGTGGTTTAATTGTGGCCCCGAGAGATTTCTTTCCAAATCCAGGTGGAAATCGACCAAGTAATTTGCATGTACACTTGAATACCATAATTCACAATGGTTTTCCTGACACTAGATGCCTGAGAACGAAGCAGCATCAATGAATATTGCACCTCTGATGAATTCAAGAATTAAAAAAATGTTTTAAAATAATGTCTTAAAGATTTGTTATGCAATATTCCATGTCCTTTTAGGAATATTTTATTGCGATGAAGTATTTCTAGTCTATTTTTGTTTTTACCGTTATACTGTTATAGAATTTAATGTGTGTTTCAATTAGATAGAATAATTGAAAAAATATAATCGAAAATATATATGGAAAATAACAGCGGTGTCAAAACAGTATTTATGTGAAATTGAGAGCCACATTGGGGTTATCATGTTAATAAGGAGTTATGGAAACCATCGGTATGAGTCAGAACGATTCGGTGAACTTGGGTGGGGAAACAAACATGATCGATACGCTGTTAGTACTTTAAAAAGACGAACTGTTTAATATAATACAACGCTCCAGGGGTTCGTTCTAACTTTTCATATATTGGGGGATGAGTCCATTCAACGATTATCATAAAAAATATTCCTTTGATCCGATACTTTTAGGTACCTGATTAAAGAATATATTTTTTGGCATCCATCCGTTCAACCAAAGCACAACAAATCAAAGACATGAAAAAAAATTAAAATATGTTCAATCACTTGCTCCATAAAATGCATATGTTGGATCTGCAAAATGTTTGTAATTACTAGTTGTTGAACAATGCTGTATTTTAATGGTATTGGGTATGTTCAAGTTACTTATCAGCTATTGTTTTTAAACTCCCAAATAAAACGACTGGACTTTGAAAACCTTCATTGCTTATTTTGTCATCTTGAATTTTTGTAGATCTAAACCTCTTCCAGATCTTGCACCCCTGAACTCTAGTGTACACTACATAGTTTTCCCCAGCAAAACAAGAATGGGGTGCCTAAAATATCTAAAGAATTAAGAAAAGATATTTCTTAAAAATCATACCTAAATTTTCAAACTATATGTCTCTTGTTTTCATTGTCTTTTTTCTATGTTCAGTTGCTGAAATCTGACTACAGTAGATTCCAGTTACAGACACAACAAAAGTTGCAAATGAGATCAAAGTCTTTTGTGACAAAAGCTTGGATTTATATGCAAACAATAAAAAATAGAGATATAGTGTCGCATTAATATATTTAACATATTCAAAAGTAATTGTGTAAAATGCATTTGCCAAGCAAAGTATTACAGTGCATGGAAATGAAAATCGAGGAGTATGTGAGTTGATAAATAACAGTGTCAATATAATTTTTCCAAATCAGTCAAGCATTGAGAAAAATATGATTTTTTATTGGTTGATGTTTTAAATTTGATTGTAATAAATTGGTTCTCAACACCATTAAGTTCAGTTTAGTTCAGATTTTTTATGTATTAACATTCCTCTATACACAATATCTTACTACAACTACATTCCAATGAAATACATACAATGACTACAAAACACATAAACATACCCAGACAATAAATAACGTAAGATTTTGCTTCCACTGTAGATAAACTTACCTCGGAGAGCAGTGGTGTACCCAAGGGGGGGGGGGAATAGGGGGGTCCGGACCCCCCTACTTTTCTAAAATATGGTCCACGAGATTTGTCCAAAAACGATGTAAAACTCATTGGGGGGGAGTAGTATACTGTATGCTTGTGTCAATAACAATTGTAAAATACTTTGCTATTTACCGTAGCTAAAATGAATCAAATAATAGGGAGAAATTTAGCAAAAAGGGCGTTTCGCCGCTATTGTGAGTGTTTAAAGGGCGTAGTCCAAATAAATCTGGGGGCTGCGCCCTAGAACCCCCCACTACTGAAGCCCTGGGTATGCCACTGTCAGAGAGAGCATCCCCTTTTCTAAGATGGTTTTCAATATAATTAATCATTCATATGAGTGAAAGAAATTATGACAGACAAAATCAAGTTTGATAGCTCTTGTGAAATGAAAAGCCTTTACGCTATTGACAAAAACTGAACTGACAACAGTTGATGGTCTTTTTGTATCTACTGGGATATTGTTCCAAGATGTGGCATCAACGAAATTTGTGCAAAGGCAAGTCAGAAGCTAAATATTCTTTTTCAGCCTGTTTGTGTAATGGCAAGCAAAAGCAAACATGGCCATAAATATCAACTAAACTATTCCCTATTTGTGTAATGGTTATTCAAATTCAATAAAGGAATGGAGTTACTTAAAGGTAATGTGTCCAGCTAAAGCAATCGACTCTGCGGGGGGTTTTAGAAACATGTGATTTTTTATGTCATCACCCCAGCCATTACGGTCGTTTTGTTTATCTATACAGCTGCGAGGTTAGCTTTTCATGTGAGCAGTTTTGCATCGCAAGAATAATAACCAATCGTGAACCACTATTTTGATGGGTGGCTTGACAAGTTGGGTATACGCAGTCCTTTTATATGGACACATTACCTTCAAATATATTTTATAAGGGCAATTAATATGAGCATCAGAAAATGCTTTTCTGACAAAATAAATTAACTACATAACATGATAAGCCAAACAATGTGGCTTTATCATTGTAGCACTGAAGCTAAACAAAGTTTCATAGGTAGTTAGCACTCCAAAATCTTCACATTTATGGTATTTTTTAGACCATGTTATTTTCTCTCAGTTTCAATTTGTAAGCACATTAAAACAAGGTGGAGTTATTGCCAAAACGGCACCTGTACTTGTTGTTGAAAAATCAAATGATATGATATGCATAATGTATTATGTAGAGTTGATAAAACCAGAAAGAAAAGTAGGTGCAAGGCTTATGGGGTGTAGAAAGGGCCAACACCAGCAGTGATTTGTGGGGGGGGGGGCAGAGATCAGAATATTTTCGATCATTACCCAAATCCTAAACTTATGTATATTGAAGAATAAGTGAAGACATGCTGAGAGGTACATCAGTGCATCAACTTCCAGATCTGCTTGATTACAATTGATATGCATTCAATGTGTGTATGTAAATAGGATTTGTATACAGTCTTTTTTCCTAAGAAATTTTTTTATAATAACACAAGCCTCAAAATGGGTCAAACGTGAGAGCAAATGCAGAACAAGCTAAGGCTGAGCTACCGTAAATGTGATAGTGATAAACGATGTGCACATGTGAAAACCACCGAAAATTCCACCTCAAAAATACTGTCTATGGGGGCTTTTTACGTGAATCTTCAAACTTGACAGCAAATAAAGGGTGTCTCTCTTATCTTGTTGGCAAATGTGGCATGAACACCGCCCTGGAATAGCTATTAATTGCACTGCTTACAACCTAATAATTTAAGAAGAAATTAAGAACAGTCAGCTTGAAATTTAATTTACTGGTTTCTTACAAACAAAAAGTGTAGGTAAACTGCATTTCATTTCGTTTGTATGGTTGTTTTAGATTATAATCATTTTAATCAATTGATTAAAGTTTTTAAAGCTAGCAAACTGCGCAGGTTCCCTTTCTCCCAAACGGATTTTGGGAGGGTGATGTATTGCAGCGAAGCCCGGCAAGACGGCACCATTGCTTCCTACCATTTTACATCTTTTATAAGCACAAATAAAATTTACGTTCAAAGGTCTTTTAAAAGCAACAAACAACTTGTTTATTTGCATTATACGTTAGAAGGTGAACTTTGCTCCCCTCGACAAACAATTCTTCAGAGAAGGTTACCCTTACACTACGTCCGAGTCAACGTGATGTCACATCGACTACACTCACTCACTGATCTTCCATTTTCGAATTTCTACATACCTCTTACACAAATCAGCAATGTTTTCTTCCCTTTATGTTCATCCTAAAATCACCGTATCCAAGGCATTCGATTTCAACAAGAACCTCAAACTGAGCTCTTCTTGCGAACAGCCAGTCCACATGAAGGAAGGTGTATGGCAGCAACAGCAACAAAAACACAATCAGTTTACCCGTTCTGAGCACATGCACAGCAACTTGTAATCACGTGCAATAGTGTAATGCAAGACATAAATGACGACGAATAATCACAAAGAAATAAGAACAGTCGAGAAATTGCTTTGTGATGTGAAAATGAATCAACATACATTTTTGATAAAGTGAAAAAATCAGGACCATTGTATATGCGAAAAGTGCTGAATAATGCTGCGTCATATCCAACGAAGCGAGGCCTCAGATGGCCAGATAGTTTCCGCTTGGCAACGAAAAGACATTTTGAAAAAATTAATGAGAAAACCCAGGTCTGTCAAGATGATGAGCAGTGAAGAATCTCCCACTCAGGACCAGGGGTGTAGTACAAGGGGGCTGAGCCCCCCTTGCTAATGCTAACAATTAACCTTTGCTATTGTTTGTTGGCAACATTCTGTGCAAGTTTTTTTTTGATAGCACTAGAGCACTGTTCAGGACCCATCACTTGTTCTGAGTGAAAATGTAAAGAAAGCTTTGTGTTTTCCCTACATTCTATTAGTCTCCAGTGGCGGAAAGGCCATTTGATGTCAACACAAACATTTCCATTTGATGTCATGCTCGTAAAATTTGCGCCCAGAATTTATTCTCGTTTTCAATGGTAATTTAGGTTACTTTGGCTTGATTTTAGAGTTTGGTCTCCTTGGTTTTAACTTCCACACTTGAAGATCAAAGTCAGTTACAAAATGGCTTTGAAAAGAGCAAACATTTTATAACAAATTGGCTAAAAGCTTTTTCTTCTGATACTCCTCAGAGCATAAAACGGCAGGCGCGCAACTACGGGGGGGGTCCTGGGGGTCCAGACCCCTGCCCTTTTTCTCAAAAGGGGAAAAATGCCCTTTTTCTTGGAAAATTGCTTGAATATTTTGATTACTACGCTAAAATGGTTGGTCATACAGTAAATGAAACACTCTGGAGATGTAATGGACCTCGCAGGAATACAGATAAATGATTTAGTCAAACTTTCACGTACTTGTTGGGTCGAACGTCATCATGTTTCAGTAATAGAGTCTATCTTCAAGCCCCAACTCTACAGCGTGTTTTATGATGCGCTACGCACTGGCTTTGAAAAAGAATGGTTCTGGGACTCAAAAACCAAAATAAAGGCACAAGATTTTGAACGGGATAGAGCCTCTACGACCTCTGGTAAAAAGTTACAAGAATAAAAACCAAGACATTTTTCAAGCCTGTCACATAGTTGACAGGGTCATAGAAGACCTTTGCATGAAACGAGCGAATGCAGAGAAATATTTTCGGACTGGTATTTGCAAGCAGTAAAGATGGCACAAAAAGTTGATGTTCAGCTGTTCCGTTCCTTGTCAGTATTACAAATCAGCTGAAGGCAAGACTTGGAGACAGAAACCAGCTGAAGGCAAAGCTCGTGGAACTGTTCAAACTCCTCCCATCTGTAGTGCGAAGCAAAGAATTCTTTAATAATATTTTAAAGAGCAAAATGTCTTCGGATATGGAAGATGATGGGCTGCTATTCAAAAGTGAGCTGGCGCTGGGAAAAGGAGATGACAGCAGGGTCGCCGAGAGGGGGACAAAGGGGCAAATTGCCCTAGGGCCTCGAGGTCTAGGGAGCCTCACAAAGCAATGAATCCCGTTCTTAAATGGAATTTATTAAAAGTAACAAAATTACAATTAAAAAGTAAAACATCTTAAACGAATTAGTGAATTTGAGCTATTTGCAAGGGTGTGGTGGCAAAATTTTTGCTCGCTTCGCTCGCAAGAAGCATTGTTTTTTCCATTTCCCCCCTCCCTCGGGCCTCCTAAACTTCTCGGCGGCACTGGGTGGCAGACAGAAAGAAGTCATGTGCATAGTTAACATTAAAAGGAAACAATTAATCACACCTCACCACAAAATAAACCGTACACCACAACTTTTCTCTTTTGATCAGTTTTCCTTGTCTGGCGTACAATATTTACAGATTTACTAACTGCTCATATTTTCGGTGTACCTAAACAAATGCCCCGGTGGACCTACCCTGGGTACCAGACTCACTATATATGAAATAAAATAGAGAGTCTGGTCTAGTGCGCCCCATTCTCGTTCTGGTGTGCTGATATTAACCAATCAGGAGCGAGTGTACAGATTTCTAGATTTCTGTACGTTCAAAGGTCACAGCGAAACAATAAACTTAGCTCTGGTGTAAAACATTGAACAGAATAGAACATAAACTAGAAATAGCTCTTGCTAGTACTGCCCGCAAACAATTAGTTCCTTGATAATGATTGTTTTGAAAATTTAGGTCAGGATATTCGAAGAAGACACCATCTTGGGTTTTCGCAATTTTATAAAAACAGCTGCTCTAGTTGATGCTAAACTATTCTTTTTATCAAGAATTTTTGGTGTTCAGTTTGCCTTTGATTTAAGTCCAACGCCCTTTTGAAAATCAGTAAGTTTTTCTAGGGTTTGACATTTATTTTGCGTTTTCGTGAAGCAAAGACGTATGAAAATGGACACGTGATAGAACGGGTACAGCTAAAATCGATTGCGATAAAGGATTCGTACAGCGATGTACAGGCTATAATCACGACAATCATAACTTTTGCTCGTACGGTGTCGAGTTTTTGGGAGAAAGGTGTGGCATTCGACTGGTTTTGATTCCCAAAACTTCGAATCAAAACTTCCATCCATTGCGGAGAACCGAGCTGTGATGCAGCACCGTTTTCGTGCCAAAAAACCGAAGGCCTTTAACAGAGTCTTGGCAGAGCAACGCTCCGAAGATAATTCCCTTCCGCACAAAGAGGTGGCGGTTAACGACCTCCTCGACAAAGCCGATTGATTGACAATGAAATTGATTGACAGTTGTCATGGCAGCAGAAAAGTGACAAAATCTGCTGACAAAGTGCTGACAACATGAACTGAAGCTTCCATATGCTACTTATACGCGGGGCAGACTATAAGCCCTTCACTCGCGCGCTATCGCGCGCGAGTTGCGGGCAATAAATGCTAGCGACCGTAACGATTGAGTTTGAAGATGCTGTTAAAACTGTACTCAAAGAATATTTTCCGCATGTTGTGGAACTGAAAACAGAACAGCATTGAAAGCCTTTTTTTTTAAAGAAAAGAGACACCTTCGCCATATTGCCAACTGGCTTTGGAAAGTATCTGATATTTCAGGCTGTGCCTCTCGTTGCAAAGAAATTAGGCCTTGTAGTGAAATGCAGTAGATAAGAAAGCACCGCAAGGCGCCGAGAACAAACAACAACAAACACAGTTAATCAGTTATAGCTAATATTTCGCCTGGCATACGGGACTTCGCTTGTCGTATTGGCCATATTTGCTGTGGCGGTGACCTTCCAACGTGATGATTCTAACCGCCGCGGTGTCCAAGCGCGCTGCCTTCACAGTGAGGAAGTAGACGTTCAAAGTACACACAATTTATGAGGAAAATTACAAAAGACTTATTTTAAGTTGTATACGAAATTTGATAATGATTTACATTTAATAACTGCATTGTGCTAACTTTAATTTCATGCTTCGCACATGATTTTTGCTGCCAAATGGCGTTTTAAACCTGATTTGATTGTTATCTTGAGGCAGAAAAGTCTATTATCACTGTATTAAAAATGTCGACTTTAAAGAACCAAATAAAACACATTTGCTTTAAGATTTCCCAAAACTCCTCTGACTACTGAGTTTCTTTGTTATTTATCTGACAGTCTTGTTTCACAGGCCTAGTCTGTTAAATAGACTTCGGTTCTTTCAAGTAAGTTCACCAGAACGAGAATGGGGCGCACTAGACCAGACTCTCTATTATTTTATATCTAGTGAGTCTGGTACCCAGGGTACGGTGGACCTTTAATGAAGTTTAATTAGTGCCCTTTTTGTGTCTTGGACCCCTGCCCTCTGAAATTTCTGGTTGCGCGCCTTAAAACGTCAGAATAAAGGTCTGAAATAAGGCGAAGAAAAATATATACCCAGTTGTTTCAATTTTTATATCGCCAAAAAAATGTTCTCAGTTATAATAAATGGTTGCCATTATTTTAAGTACATTTTTTCAATTCTTTAGAATTGAACTGTATCATTAACCTTTGGCAAATGATTAGCCTGTGCTCCCGACCCCTAACTTGTCTGGAGCAGAGGCTAGCAAATGATATGAAGTCTTTTTTGTCAATCAGTCCATTTTTTAATCTTGACTAATCCAAAGCCAAATTATAATTTGGCGCATATGGAGAGCATGTATGGAAAGATTGCTATTACTTACCACAGAATATCTTTAAACAACAGGTTAATGGCTTATATCTACCGAATTCTCTTAAATTAATAATATTTATAAAAATTGACAAAAATAGCAGCCATTTCGTTCAAAATAGGGATGAAATAAGAACCATTCCTTCAAGATAAAGACAATAAGAAATCGAGATAAAAACTAGACAACTGTGCTAGAGCAATTAGTTAGGTCGAAATCGACGATTCCGTGACAACTTTCAGTAGCATTGTTTTGAAAGTTGCTTTTGGTATTTTAAAATACGTTCTACAAAATGGGCACGAGTACATTTGATTTTCGATGGTCATTGGCCGGAAATGACGTCATAAGATTGGTACCTGGAAAATCTTTTCTACGGCCATAATTTGAAAGAATATGTCTAATTCATCTAAGTAACACACCATTCGACTCATCGTCAGATTGATGTACGTTAAATCAAATCTTGATGACGTCAGCAAAATATGCTATGACGTCACTGTTTGAACTTAAAAACAATATATTGATAAAACTGCTCTGATATAACTGAGATCCAAGACATGTTATGTGCTCAAGGCACTGCCTTAATTGAAATAACTGAAAAACATTATCGTAAACGTTTTTAACTGTATCAGATGAATACGTATTGTGAAGAAAAATGTTGTTGAACATCCTGTCAGTTAGTCAATCCATGTTTAATTCGGGGGGCTTAGCAAATGAATCTTTTCTGTCTTGGCTTTTAAATAACTCCACTCGATAGAAGACCATAATAGAATCATCTTTTGACTGGGGCCCGCCGGGAAATTTCTCGGTATCCCGGCAGGCCAGTCTACCACTGAGCAGAGCTGACTCTATAGACAGGGATCTTGCCCTATCATGAAATGATTTTGTAAAGATTTTTTTTTCATGACAGGTTTTGAAAAAAACAGTTAGAACAGAGAAATTCAAGAAAGAATACAAGTTGTTAATAGTCTATAAATCTAAATCAAGATAGATGAGTTACAATAAGTACAATTCTTAAAACTTCTAAACTACAATACTATAATGTGTCGTGAACAGTGGCGTAGCGTCCGGGTATTCAGGGTATTCAGTGAATACCCTGAGATTTCTCAGAAAAAATATTAATACGACGTATACTTGTAATAAGTAAAAAATGTTTTGGGGCTATTGATTCTGGTCGAATTCGTTACCTCCGATATTCTACATTTTGTACAAGTACAAAATATCATCAAATTCATGGAAACAATAACGCTGTGAAGCATAGAGAAGCTGGGAGATCTTTGAAGCTAATTTTGAAGATTGAGCTACTTCATGTTGTATGGAGATCGGTCATGAATACGCAGTGAATACCCTAGACGGTACTTTAACCAATCAAAATGCTCCTTTCCATGAATAATATTTGCCGTTAATCAGCTAAAACAATGGTTCTGTACGCTGAGAAATATGCAGCGTACAGCCTCAAAGTTGGTTCAAAATAGTCTCGTTATGAGATCGATATAAACAGTTAATGGACATCTTGTTGGCCTATTTTGGTTGCATTATTCGAGCGCATTTATTTGCATTATTGTGCAGTCTCGTCTCATTACCTTCGATTCTTTCAAATAATAACTTGTATTGAAAATATCACGAAAAAGTCTATACTGCATACCACAAAACCATTTATAACTCATGTAACGCCCTATGTGAATAATTTTGAAACTTTCGAAAGCCCTTTTGTATAAAGGTATTAAGAGTAGGTGTTTACAGTTACTTCCTCTTTACATCAGTGCAAATGTTAGACGATTCAACAACAACTATTGGGACATATTTCGACCAGTAAAATTTTACTGGCTTTCAATGATATGTTTTGATTTGAATTACTTTTGATGAAATGGTCAGTGGTAATTTGATGCAATGAATGAGTTCGAAGAGTATATTTGAAGGGTCCTTTAGCAAAGTATCGTTTTCATCATAGTAATGCCCTGTTAGTGCAGTACTTGCCAACCGAACCAAAAAGAAAATTAGATAAAATGTCAATAGCTAGTCCTTTAAATCTTCCTATTTTCCCCCTATTTTCATCAAGCCTCATCGAGCCACACCCTGCCCCACCCTTTTCTTTAATAGAGAATACCCAGTTGGAAAAGTGACGCTACGCCACTGGTCGTGAACTCAATATTGCTTCGAACGCAAACAACTACTTGAACAGTCCACGAAGCAAAGAAATAGACCACTTGATTTTACCACGCCGAAATTATCACTCAAATCATTTTAACTCTACTCTCAAAACATCACTAAAAAAATCCCGTTATACTACGTTATACATTTTATCAAACCGTTATACTACGTTAAGTTTTACGCTACATAATATTTACAATCACTATTAGTATTGCTTTTTAGATTTTATTTTCTTTTTCTATAGCAGCAGCAGCCGACTGCTATGATGATGATGATGCCGATTAGAACCATCAAACCGACCGCAATCCACTTCCAATGGCTTTCACAATTTTTGTCATCATTGTCTTTATCTAGGACTTTCCGATCTAGAAATTAAGAAAGCAAAACATTATCACTAATATGCAGTGCTTCCATTTTCCAAAAATGGTATATCCTCATTTTTTTCGTTCTTTATGTTCAAATTCCCTTCCTTGAAATCAGAAATTTTCTTTTGATTTCTTTTCAAGTATATCAGTAGAAAGGTGCCCAAACAAGGTAAAATTGGTTGCAAAATGCTTGCCTACTACAGCATACTAAAGTGAACATTCAACTAACCTACCTGACCAACCTTTAAAAAAATCGCACTTAAAACTCAATCGCACAGCAGCACACAAAAACAGTAATAAAATATTGATTGCTTCAGAGCACTGATTTATAGGAACTAATTTAAAAATGGATAGGGGGTACATGAGCGAAAAAAGGAGTACCTCCGTTCAGTGGGCTGCAAATAGGAACGTAGCCACTGGTTTTGAAAGTAGAGGACGCGTTTTCCCTGTGCCTCTGATTCTTCGTGTATATTTAGAGTAAATGTATTGAATTTAAAAGATAAAGTATTTCGAAAAAACACCCAACAATGCTCTCACTATTCTAATCACAACATGATTTCTAAAATTTCTTTATAAAATTAGTTGCAATTGCTTTTATAGCCATAAAATTTTCACATGAAACTTTCTTTGTTGTAGTAACATCAACGTTAGCGATTCTGTCTGTTTTGTATGGGCGGGGGGCTGTTTACAAAATTTCAAAGGTTGAATAGCAGCATCTTGCAATAACTTTATTCAATCAATCAATAAAATTGTTTACCTAGGACATACGTAGAAAGGAACAAGTACCCACCACGTATATACACAGTGTACACTTTCCTCACTTCTCTCCCTTGTTTCGGCTTTCCTCTGCAACTTACTATCGTGGGATGGTGTCCTCTTTGAAGATTGATCAACACGATTGTTCTTGAAATGATTGTTTCAGATTTAAATGAAGCACTTTGTGTTATGTTCCTATTTGAAATGATGTGTTCAACATCTCGTCTGCTCACATCAAATATCACGTCAGAAGCGGGTCGGCTGTGGACCGCACATCTGATTGTGACAACTTCCCCAGATTGAATATGGAAAACTGTTTTTGTCGTCGTTAAATAGGCCACAAATGAAACAGGTTCTATAAGAAATAAAAATATGAAAAGAATAGGTAGCTGTTCCTTGAGATTTTAAACGTTTACTTTAAAATCTCATTAACAGTAGGGGTTGCTGGGCGATTCACTTTATAGAAACCTTGTACACCGCTGGTGGAAATCCTATGGCTTTATAAGAAGATCCGTATAAATTATTTTGTTAATCATTCTAATACTGAATTGCCTCTCATATGTAAGGGGCTCTCGTTGAGTCCTAATGACCCTTTTTGACCTTTTACTTGGGTATATTTCGTAGATTGCCATCACAATTCGTGAAATTCGAAGCAACCTTTTCACTATAAGAATAATTGACTGGTTAAGACTGACTCAAGACTAAGTTAAGCTGAATTTGAAATTTAGGATTTGTCTCCTAGTAGCGGTACAATTCTCCCAGTAGATCTTAAATGTGAGCGTTGACTATGGATAGAGGGTCCTTTTTATGCCTTTTCTTATCAGCTTCCGACCCCCTTCTAGCTATGCTTCCGGGATTTCCACTTTTCATTCATTTCGGTCTTGCAAATGTACAGCACGACCCAGTGGGTTACTAGAAACCTGAAGTCCTGAAGCTTGTAGCTGAGGAGAAGAGACCAGGAGTGGCGGCATGGGGGGGCAAGGGGGGGCTTTAGCCCCCCCTAGATTTTTGTTAGCCCCCCCGTCGGCAGCCAATCAATTTTTGCTTTCTCAATACCGTCGGCACTTGATGGATGTCACCCGGTTTACATGTTGTTTAAATGACATAAATAATCGAGGAGAAAACTGCACTGGCTGGTTTATGGTTTCCTCAATGGCTTTTCTTCGGCAATTTTATTATCAAAGTGGCATTATATCCTGTCGCTTCCGTGAAAGCTGTGACTTAATTTCATGGTGCTCCTTCGCATGACCCACAATACCATGGTGCTCCTCTCGGTTGAAATTCCTGTTGCTGCTTGGAATTCAAGCGAAACGTGCAGATGCTTGATTTGGATCATGTTTTGGACCGTTTCAAGGAAATTTACCCTAGCAACAGCAAAATCACGCTGTCATAAATAAAGTCTTTAATGAATTTTCTTCTTAAGGGATTCTCTTTTCGTTTCAAGACATTATTATTGCCAATGAAAACATTTCGATCATGAGCACATTTTGCGTAATAAATTTTTCAAAAAGCACTTCTTGTCCTTTTTCATAAACTATTTTTCAATAGCATTGTTCACCGCATAGCTTGCGACAAACAAATGGTTTAGAGAAAACCATTGATTAACTTCTTCCACCATAGATAGGAAGAAATATTCAACAATAGGCAATATTTGCGCATTAAGTTTCTAACAAGGCACAAATTGCCGAGAAAATCTGGTGGACTCCGACACAGGATGGAAAGTGGGGGACGGGAAGGGGGCAAGGGAGAATTTTGCACCCACAACAAAAGATTTTGGAAAAATGCTCTATTGCTCAATAGGAAATTTCAGGTAAAATCCGCTCGGTGGAAGAAACGCTTTAGGTATTTCAGAGACTTTCCTGTCATAAAATCAATAAAGGATCAAGCAATCTTAGGTAAAATTGTGCCTCGTGTTCATTTCTCCTAAAGTTTCTCAGTAGAAGCGTCAACTGCAATTCACTATGAGCTCCACATTCAAAAGGCATGCTAAGATAGAGAGAGGGATCTAAATTTAGAAGTAACTGACAACCTGGTATTTTTCAAGACCACGGCGAAATTGTTGTTTTTATCTGCTGTAAAAAAGGTTTTGCAAAAAGACAATAATTTTCAATGGGATTAGCAGGATTGCTTTAGTGGAATCTGCTTAAAAGAGTGCATTTTCCAGGGAACTAGAAGCATCACAATTCGAAAATTTCCTCCTCCTTCGGCGGCAACCAGTGCCGCCTCAGGTAGTAACTATATATTTTGCCCGTCCCGATATAGAGATTTGACAAGACTATTAGGAAAGTCGGTTATCTTTCAGAGTTAGATTGACAAATAGTATTGCAGAGGTTTGTGGCACCAGCTAAAAAGTTTCAGGCAATAATTTTTTAATCAGGTAAATTTGCATTCCACACACCCCTCCCCCCCAACGAGGCTTGCCTCGCGACGGCATTGCCTGCTATATGGGGCAAATAGATTTTTTTTCTGTCGGCAATTTGACACATCCAGCGTCGGCAGTTACGGAGAATATAAACTTCGGCACCTTGAAGGTTTGTCTCTAGCGCCACCCCTGGAAGAGACGCCATCTGTCTCCCTCAGAGGGTACCTTAGTAAGTTTGAGGTACGGGAACGTGGACTATCAGCTTTTGAAAAATGTGCAGAAATTTCCTATGAAGAACGCCGCGGCTTTTATTACATGTTTTTTGAATGAGGCATTTAACAGAGCGGCGTTTATCAAATGAGGTGTTCATTAGAGGAAACACGGTATATACAAAAGAAAAAATGAAAACTTACTGTAAACAGTCCTTATCCAGTGTTTTGAGCTTTCAATATGATGTGTTCGCCCTTGATATTCGTAGTCGACTTTGCACAAAAACCCCAGATTTCCATCTGGTATCTTGACATCTTTTATAACAAATGAAACATTTCTTGTGTAGTGTATTCGCTTGTCAAAATCTGGTGAAAGTCCAACTGATGGTTTTCGGAATGCTTTGGTGTATTTATCAAACTGCGCCAAGATCGTCATCAAATCAGAACCATTTGCTTTGTAGCCACAGTCCAAGCGATCGAAGGCTGAACTGTTGCTGTCTGGCGAAAATTGGATCACCGTTATGATAATATTGGATCCTTCTTGCACCAAACTTGGCTGCAACGTCACCTCAACCGACCCGCAACATGCAAGGTTGGTACCTAGAAACAGTTGAAAACTCAATAAACTTTCTGTTTGCCTTCTAGGTTATAGAAGTTCCATATCCGATATTATAAGCTGCCTGTTCACAACATAACACTTTTTAAGAATTTTCAAACTTTTTTTAAGGAGAACTTCTCAGCTTAATTAAAGGTATATTACATACTGTGATGATTAGATCAACGAAATCTATCCATCAAACAACAATCTGTGGAGTGAATAATTAAAATTCGATACCAATTCAGCTGAAGGCAAACAAAATTTGATTAAAACGTACCGAAAGTTAAAAGAACTATGAACGCGGCCCACATCAACTCCATCCTATCCGATTTACCAATCTGCAACATAAATTAGAAAATATCAGACAAAAGTGCATAAATTTTATGAAATAGATGCAAGTAGTTAAGTAAATTATATTGCACAAGACCCAATTTCTCAAGACACTTGGTCTTTGTGTCTTACAATTGAACTAACTGTTTATAGGCAACTGATTTGAAAAGAGCTAAAATACCTCTACTTTCACTAATAAATGATTTACTCGTACTTACATGCAGCGTCCACCAAACAACAGTTACTGTATCTACACTACAAAATTAATTACTAGATATTTATGCCAAGAACTGGGAATTCCCCATCTTGACATGTGTTCGGTTTTGATTGGTCCAGCATATAAATATGAGGTGATGTCATCTAAAAAAGTGTTTTCTTGGAAGCAGAGCTTGGGTAAACCGCAATGAGAAAAACAACGTCTTGGAAGGTTCCAGCGAGGGGCAAATCACTCTAAGAAAATCTCGTACACCTTTTGTGGAAATCCTATTGTTTTAACTGAAAATCCCCAGAAATCCTTTTGTTTTAAAGAAAATCTCGTACGCTATTTGCAAGAGTGAATTGCCCCTCGGGTTCTAGAACTTTCTGTACGAAACATTGCATTGATGCTAGGCCTAGAGCTGCCACTTGAATGTTTTTATATACAGGGGGTGAATCCGCAATTATACAAAGTCACCTAACAGTATCAAATAAAATTTAACAGAACCAAAGTTTCAAGATCCAAAAATATCAAAATACAAAATCTTGTTGCTAAGCACATAAGGAACTATCAGTCATAGTAATTTAGACTATTTTGTATAAAAATATGTTGAATTGGCATTTATTTCCTTACATTAGATCTTTGAATATAGATAAAGAATAGGATTCATATTTCTTGCTGCATTATCTCCATCCAATGGTAAAATCTACACATGATCATAAAGTGGGCTCTGTACCAGGGAAAATTTAGAGTTGAACATTTTGCTCTGGAGCACTGTATTGAAAAAGGTTCTTATTGGTTTTTATAAGTATAAACACAATGTACATGATGCGCAGGAACAGGTAGCTTGTGATCCAGACCAGTGATGTAGCCCGGGCTGGAAGATTGGAGGGGCTTTTTGGGTATGATAGAACCTGCAAATCCTGTTTGATTCTGTGTAATTCAACTCTAATCGAATTCCTTTGGCTTTCCAGAATTTTTATATTAGCATATTTACACATTCAAGCTTTTTGTACCTGTATCTACACTATAAAATTAATTACTAGATATTTATGCCAAGAACTGGGAATTCCCCATCTTGACATGTGTTCGGTTTTGATTGGTCCAGCATATAAATATGAGATGATGTCATCTAAAAAAGTGTTTTCTTGGAAGCAGAGCTTGGGTAAACCGCAATGAGAAAAACAACGTCTTGGAAGGTTCTAGCGAGGGGCAAATCACTCTAAGAAAATCTCGTACACATTTTGTGGAAATCCTATTGTTTTAACTGAAAATCCCCAGAAATCCTTTTGTTTTAGAGAAAATCTCGTACGCTATTTGCAAGAGTGAATTGCCCCTCGGGTTCTAGAACTTTCTGTACGAAACATTGCATTGATGCTAGGCCTAGAGCTGCCACTTGAATGTTTTTATATACAGGGGGTGAATCCGCAATTATACAAAGTCACCTAACAGTTTCAAATAAAATTTAACAGAACCAAAGTTGCAAGATCCAAAAATATCAAAATACAAAATCTTGTTGCTAAGCACATAAGGAACTATCAGTCATAGTAATTTAGACTGTTTTGTATAAAAATATGTTGAATTGGCATTTATTTCCTTACATTAGATCTTTGAATATAGATAAAGAATAGGATTCATATTTCTTGCTGCATCATCTCCATCCAATGGTAAAATCTACACATGATCATAAAGTGGGCTCTGTACCAGGGAAAATTTAGAGTTGAACATTTTGCTCTGGAGCACTGTATTGAAAAAGGTTCTTATTGGTTTTTATAAGTATAAACAAAATGTACATGATGCGCAGGAACAGGTAGCTTGTGATCCAGACCAGTGATGTAGCCCGGGCTGGAAGATTGGAGGGGCAAAGAGGAGTCCAACAGCAGGGGGTCCAGAAATTTTTTAGTGGCCACACCCTCAAGATTTTTGGAATACGTCCCATTTCGTAAATACATTTGGAAAAGCTATGGCTTTTTTTCGTGGCAATGGTTGGCTAATCAAACACAATAATCGTCATGTTTAGCTTTTTGTGGCTGGCCCCCATTTTACAACTGTCTATTTCCTTTGCAATTCCTCTAACGTTTATATTCTGAATTGTGTAAGACGAGGAAGCGCTACGTATAAAAACTGGTTTCCAACGTTGTAAGCAAATATGTAAAAATATTGAGCAGTTTTCAAAAGTTTTAAACTAAGTCAGTGGCGTAACGCAGTTTAGGCGACCTTAGTTCGAGAACTAAGGGCCCCCGAACCAAAAAGGGCCCAAAAGGGGCCCCCTTCAAATTTTTCGTATATTGTGCTTTTTTACCATGTTGACAAGGTTTCCTAAAGCCATCCCAAAAGTTCTTACTAAACAGTGTTGCTAACACAACACTGGATTCATTCATTCTGTTTTGTTTTGTTTATTCGCTATAATTCTTCAATGGCTTATTTCAATTATACTGACAATGACAACTTTGACCTTGGCATTCAGAGGGCACAGAGAGCAGGTTCATGATAATGTGTGTGAAGGTGGGAATTTCTTGGCATTGGTCTCTCTTATGGCTGAATATGATGAATTTCTAGCAGAAGTTATATCTCTTCCGAGCAACAAAATACCTTAGCGCTAAGATCCAAAATAAGCTGTTTCACTTGCTTGCAAATACTGTATCCTCGACTTTGGTAGAAAATATTAATTCCGCACCATTCTGGAGTATAATCTTGGATTCCACCAGTGATATTACAAGAGTCGACCAATTAACCGTTGTTATTAGGTGGGCAATCACACGTTGTGAGTGAAAACTTTTTTGCTAGCCTTCGAGATATCTTCAGTTTTTTGGCTCTTCCTTGAATAGATGGAGAGATCTTGGAATCGAAGCTGGGAAAGGATCACTGACACTAAAAAAGTTATGTACGACACGTTGGAGCTCTCGCATTGATGCAGTGCGAGCTGTGCGTGACAAGTATCCCCAGATAATAAGGCTTCTGACGCGACTCATCTTAACATCAAACAACAAGAATGAGCGTGACAACGCAAAGAGTCTTAAGAAAAAAATTGACACACTGGAATTTATTATTTTCCTTGTATTCTGGGAGAGAATACTAAGATCGGTCAATGCAGTATCAAAGGAGCTTCAGTCCTCTAGGATTGACTTAACAGTTGCCTCTAGACACCTTAATATTGCACTCTCGGAGCTCCAATAATGCTGATGAATCATGGCAGTCCATAATGCTTACTGCCACAGCACTTGCAAAACTTTGGGATGGATCGCTAGAGTTTCAACAAAAGAGGGGTCAGAAGGCAAGATATGAATCAGATGAACTTGTTGTAGATGGAAGACTGATGGATCCTGAGCAAAGTTTCAAGATAAACGTTTTCTACAAGACTGTTCATGCAGCATTGATGCAACTGACAGAAAGGTTCAAGGACAAGCAATGGTGACGTCAGTATTCAGCTGTCTCTACCCCAACAACCTGGCAACACTGAGTCCTGACATGCTTGAAAATGCAGTACGAGTAATTCGTGAGAAATATCCAAATGACTTTACAGATAAATTAGATTCTGAGATGAGATAATTTGCAACCGAATTCAGAAAGGAGATTGCAGTCAAGAAAACCGTTCTAGAAGTTAATAACCTCGTGCTTCAGAGCCGTATTAGTTCATCCTTTCCAGAAATGTACAATCTATTAACACTTTTCGTCACTTTGCCAGTAACTGTTGCATCGGCAGAAAGATCATTTTGAAAGTTGAAACTGATAAAGACATATCTAAGATCTACGATGTCACAGGAGAGACTGGACGACCTAGCAACTTTGTCAATTGAGAACACCTAATTTACTGTTGGTTTTTTAATATGTAAACATTTTCTTTACCACATCACGTGCATTTCTCGAGGTTCTAAAGGGCACGATTTTAAACATTTTCACATTACCCCGAACCCCTTTGCCCCGTAGAGCTCACTTCACTTCGCAGTCCCTAAATAAGGGCCCCATCTTAGCAAATTCCTAAGGGCCCCGAGTGTTTCTGTTACGCCACTGAACTAAGTCCGTTCTTCTTGCAGCGAAATCTGCAAAATCCCCGACAAGTATTTCAGAATCCGGATTAACATTAACATTCTGATTTTTATTTTATCGGGAATTTCTAAAGAACGTGAAGGACTTTTCTATATATAATTCCTACAACGAGAGGAATGTGTATACCATTCAGTAGAGGCATAGACGAGGAACCCCTGCGAGCAGAATATTTTTCCGATCATGCCCTTCAGATTAGCTTAAAATTTCAGAATATCTTTTGATAGTTTCAGAATATCTTTGACAATCGTTTGCTTGCGGTTTTCATTTTGTCTAAAATATCATCTCCCCTACCCCTGAGGTGCTAATTCTATTGCAGATTTGCCCTTTCGCAGCCCACCTCGCTACGCTACTGCTCCAGACCCCTTTCTTGAAAAGAGGTTTGGACATTGTTAATATGCATGTTCATTTGCCATGCTCATCGGTAATAAAATTTTGGCCTACATATAACACATCATTTTAAAGAAAATCTTTCGAAATAGATTTATAGTGTAATCTCAATTTGCAGCAAAGGCAAGTAGATTCTAACTCAACTTGGAAGCTAAATTATTACATTATTAAAAAAACCAAATTTTCCAACATATGACAACCATTGCGAGTTCTTGATTATATAGAATCACAAGAAACCAAAGTCAACTATATAGAATCTTGAAAAACAAAATATCGTTTAAAAACTTTAATATGGTTTTTGTTTGTCGAGCTATGCAAATTAAACGGACGAAACTGATGACTATAAAGAAAAGTATAAATATCAATTGCACGGCAGCTTGAGAAGTGAATATTAAATCGTCTCCAATTCAGTTGTCGGCCTGTTTTGTTTGACCATACAGCTGTAAATTTAAATTCGAAACTCGTGACATGATTTATTTTTTGTTCTGAATTTTTACACTATCAATTTTAACAGAGTTTAAACGGGCTCCTGCCAAGAATACGCTGTTGACGAGCTGCACCGTGAAGAATACGCTGTTGAAGAACTGCACTGTGAAGAATACGCTGTGAAGAACTGCACTGTGAAGAATACGCTGTTGAAGAACAGCACCGTGAAGAATACGCTGTTGAAGAACTGCACCGTGAAGAATACGCTGTGAAGAACTGCACTGTGAAGAATACGCTGTTGAAGAACTGCACCGTGAAGAATACGCTGTTGAAGAACTGCACCGCGAAGAATACGCTGTTGAAGAACTGCACCGTGAAGAATACGCTGTTGAAGAACTGCACTGTGAAGAATACGCTGTTGAAGAACTGCATCGTGAAGAATACGCTGTTGAAGAACTGCACCGTGAAGAATACGCTGTTGAAGAACTGCACTGTGAAAAATACGCTGTTGAAGAACTGAACCGTGAAGAATACACTGTTGAAGGACTGCACTGTGAAGAATACGCTGTTGAAGAACTGCACCGTGAAGAATACGCTGTTGAAGAACTGCACTGTGAAGAATACGCTGTTGAAGAACTGCATTGTGAAGAATACGCTGTTGAAGAACTGCACTGTGAAGAATACGCTCTTGAAGAACTGAACCGTGAAGAATACGTTGTTACTATTGTGCGAAGAAAACTGTGATTATTCTAGATAATCGAATTTTAGTGTGCTAGCCTCTTAAACATACTCCCATGATAAAATTTAGCTGAACCCCTTTGGGTGACAATGTTCATGATTTCTCAAGAAAAACAATTGAAGATTAACCTAAAAGGATAGACTAAGAAGCTAATGGGCTTCGGTATCATTTACGAAGTTGTTAGCGAAGAAGGTGGATGTTTAACTGTTTTCAAGTTGGGGAGGTTGGGCAGCACTCAATGCCCGACCTGGAATTCTGATTGATTTAAATCGTACTTACATGATCGTAAGCAATGCTGTAAAGTAAATTGACATACATCAAACATAGCAAACGTAAACTGCGGCGTACCGCAAGGATCGTGCCTCGGTCCACTACTACTTTTGATATAATATGATTTGCCATGTGCGTTGCAAAGCACAAAAGTGACCATGTATGCTGACGAGACAAGCATTACGTACTCATCAAAATCTTAAAAGACTTCAGATTTGGTTGGAAGGTAATAAACTCTCCCTTAATGTAGCCAAAACGCAAAGCATGATCCTTGGTTTCTCGAGTAATTTGAAAAAACATTTCATGGACAATTGAGATCCTGTGATCAATCTCCATATAAACGTGGACAACCTGGATATGATTGGATCAAATAAGTATCTGGGCATTCAGATTTATCAGAACTTAAATGGCAAGAACATATAACTTTTTCTATAGGCAAGATATCCAGAGCAGTGGGCATGCTTAAATATGCTAAAAAATATCTCCCATTAGAAATTGTAAAAAAAACATGTATACAAGTATAGTTGAACCGCATTTCAGACGCTGCTGCTCGGTATGGGGTTGTTGTGGAGAAACCCTGCTCGATAAGCTGCAAAAGCTGCAAAACCGTGCCGCACGAATCACTACTAACAGCCAGACCTTATTTTAAGGCTCAGTGATAACCAACTTTTGCAGTGATAAATAAAAAATTTTCCATGATAAATGGAAAATTGTGCAATGACAAATTAGTTGAAACAGCAATATAAAGAATTCATACGACAAAAGAAACAAAAAATAAGCAAATAGAACGTAACGGTAATAATATGTAAAGCGAAGCAAACAAATCAACAGTTTCTGGTGTATAATAGTTCACAGTTACTATGTTTTAGAAAAGTTTTCTCATATCCTTGCCTGTGTCTTTTCTCTCTTTTTTTTTTATTTCACTGCTTCAAAATACTTAATATGGATTTGATTGAGGCAGTATTCCCTTCATGCAGAGGGTAAAAAGAGTCATGATGGTATTAAAAACATTCACTCAAATTTAGCGGCACGTGAGAACACTTTGCTGACTGTCATTTTCTGCTAGTGGATTGGATATTCAGGTATATTCTGCTAGTAGGTTGGCTATATGTGTATTTCTTGTGCTTTTATATCATCGTACAGAAAGATTATTTTCAGGATCTTAAGCCATTTCAAGGCCGCAGAGATGGCAAAATCTCATGAGCTTCCAGGGCTCTGCCCCCTGGACCCCTGCCAGGGATCTGCCCTGGACCCGCCGGGGGCTTACAGCCCCCCTAGACCCCCGGTTATTGCATGCGTGCCTCTGACACGCACTTTGCACAGCCTACCTTCTAGAGGTAATCTTTTTATGAAACCACCCTGATTGTGCAGTGCTAAAATTTCCTTAAATAAGGTTTGTTAAAAGCTCTAACGATGCATCATCCCTTCCATTGATTGGAAACTTAGGGTGGTTAACTATAAAAGAAATGATTGAATTTGAAACTGCAATTGCAGTTTACAAGTCTGTCCAGGGATTAGCTCCTGGATATACGCAGCTAATGTTTACAAAATTGTCAGAAAACAGTTCACGGTCTTTTCGTAATACCGACACGATGTTAGAATACCTCGCTTTGCAAATTCTTACGGGCAACGTAGTTTCTCGTATCGAGGTGTGAATGTGTGGAATAAACAACTAAACACTGAAATAAAAAATGCCCCTTCACTGGCTACTTTAAAAAATGTGCTGAAACAATCTTTGAAAAATCAAAGGGTGTGGGAGTTCTTGTACAGCATTAAACTTTTATTTTATTTTTTATTTTTACCTTACTAGAACAACTTGCATATTAAAGGCATTGAGTCATGATAAATAGACTGGGTATACCCAAATTGCCAAAATCCGCTGAGTCATGATTTCCATGACTGCGATGCTATTGGTTGATCTTGAACTGGTCACATGAACCCACCTTGTACTGATTAACACAACAGTTTCCATCAATAGCAAGTTGTTAACAACGGATGCCAATATCACATGAAACAGCAGCGATCACGCCGAAACCAAATGACCCCCTACAGAGAAAGCCTATTTACCATGACTCAATGCCTTTAATTTTCGTTTAACTTTGTTATTTAATTGTATGTTAATTAGCTTAGGTTTTTAGACAGGGCATATTGTAAATCAGTTTTCTTTTCACTACTGAATATATTACCCTGTATAAATAATTAAAAATCAAATGAATCAATCTCCGTTTTCCTAGATAAGATGAAAACAACCCGGTAGCATTGGACCCTACCACCAAAATAATGCGTTCTCCAGTAAGGGTTCTGTTACAGTAGTCATTGTTGGTTGCAAAAGCTTGAATGAATGAAAGCTTGGCTCCTCGTTAAGCGAATTAGTTTGAAAAACCGGCAATAAACTAAACTTTAAATATTTTTACAGAGAAGCTGCAAGAAAGTCTGGAGAAAAAGATAGCTGAATATGGAGCAAAAAATTACTAGACGTAAATCTGCAAGGTACATTAACTGATACCAACAATTGAAAACCGCCAATTAATTGATACCAAAAGATTTAAAATTTATCATCAAATTGAGCCGATCAAACCTTTTTCTGATTTTTTTTCATATAACTAAAAAAGGATTCAGAGACCACCCATATTGAAAGTTTATAATTTACATGGCATATACGACATCCCCGACTTTAATTACGCCATGGTCTTCTGTGCCTAAATTTCTTCCCATAATTGGTGCCTGGCCATAAATATCAGTTTCGTCCTGAGCAACTTGCCGAAATTCTTTAAGCGTTTTCAAAGGCTCTTCCTTGTCTTTCACCCCAGAGAATGGGTCAATATTAGGCACAGGACATCTGCCACACTTCTTTAGACATCGAAACTCAACCTCCCCAATTCTAACATGACTCCAGGAATCTTCTGCAAATGCATCTGCTCCATTTATGACAATATTCGGCCTGAAGCGGAGAACGTCTGATTTAAACTTGGCACATTTCTCATTTAAAACTTTCACAGATTCTTCGGAGATCAATAAAAATGGAGTGTCTCCAGCAAATGCAACCTTGTCGCTTTCTTTTATAAGAGGCAACTTTCCGAATCTTGAATGAGTATGCAAGAATCTTGGTCTGCAATTTGAAGTAAATACAATCAGCGTATGTTGCCTTCCCAAATATTTTGAGAACCACTCATCAGCCTCTCCGCTGACACGCAACCCACTCCCTTTAATTCCACGAATACATACATCCACGTAGCATCCTTCATCCTTGTTGTCGTTCTCTAGCACATCTAACGGCAAATATAATGTTTCCATGTCGGGGGCATCTAACTTCAAGGAATCCTTTGTCAAAGTTGGCTTAACCAATGACAATTCTGGCCTGCTACTGAGACCAATGACTTTGCCACCACGATCTACAACAGCCCAGCGTCTGTCAAACTCCATACCCAGTTCATGGCAATGACCTTCCGTAACATTAACACGACTGCAAGATTTGACGGGGTAGTAATACAAAGCTGTCACCTCTCCAACTTTGTTATAAGTAGTTGTCATGTTTATTTCTTTCTTTAAGTAGTCTTCTTATCGTACATAGAAACTTTCTTGTTACCTAAAAGAAAATCTAGATCAGCAACCTGAAAAAACTCTTGCTGCCTATTTTACCATTTTTACCATTTTTCTGTTTTTCGCCCAACAGTTTTCTGCTTGCATGGGTCATTTAATTCTTAGGGGTGTGGCTTTGCGTCATCATTTAGAAGCTTATGAAAGGTGCATACAAGCTGACAAAATTTCCAAACAAATTTGTAATACTTTGTGAGCTGAAAAATGTCTTGGTGCCTTGTGGTACATAAGAGAAGTAAGATCATTTAACAATTCATAATTTGCAAACCTCAGATCGAAATCAGAGAACAAAAAAGGAAAAAGTCATGTTAAAGGGTATCTTTGTGTCTTGTATATAGTGATATTATCTAGAAATGTAAATATCACACTAAAAAGAATAAAGAAAATCCAAAAGTGAAGAAAATGGTACACTTTTTAATGAGCCTTTAACTTTAGAGAATGAAAAACTGTACACAGACACTCAAGGGCATTATTTAGTTTGATTGGATGATGAATGAACCCTTGATAAGTGCACTTGCATCAATCTATTTGCATGATAGCAAATCATCTCAGCAAAAATTAAGAAAGCTTGCAAGTAAATGTCCAGAGTTTGGACAGCTGATATGACACAGAAAGGGAGCTCAACCTGGCATTTTATATCAGAGATTTAGAGCAAGACAAACAAAATAAAGGCAAATGAAAAAGGGCTTAAAGTATTATTATTATTTTCACCAAGTTCAATTAGGTTAGGGCTCTTCTTGTTGTACATGGTGCTTCCAATATAATTTTTTATCCATTATTATCCCAAGATAATTTCTATAACGTATTCTTGTTTCAGTGATTTATTATTTATGCCGATTTATATCTTTAGTTATTTATGGTTTTTTATGCGTTGCACCACGTTTAGGCCAACTTCCTTCGTAGAAATTTCTAGAATTTGCGCAAAGGTTCTTTGCATATTAGATACACGGGATGGCACAGGGGTGTGATCCCTAAGAAAATTTGCATAGCTTATATGGCCAAATTGTCTTTTAATGGCGGGTCAGAAGTTTTCATTCAATACCATGGTTTGTTTGACGTCATGTGATATTGCCAGCTGCAGTGGTTAAATGGTCCACAGCATTTTGTCACTAGAAAGAGGAATCTAGTACTGCCAATGATATTTTCATTGTTGGATTGTCGAAAGGCAAACGGTTTTACATCAGGTTGTGTCACAAATGACAATGAGACAGACTTCTGCATTAGTGGATGAATGAGGTCTAGTACCACAGTGTACATTAAATCTTTCAATGAGAATTAAGATATGGAGGATAATTGCCATCAATTCAATTATCATGGAAAAAAGCAAAATCATACAATACAAAAATATTTCAAGGTTTCAAAACAAATGGTACTAGACTGGTACCACTAGTACTGCTGCAAGCTGTCAGTGGTCATTACTCTTTGCTATATTCATAAATGACCTACCATCAGTTGTTTCTTCCCATGTGCAATTGTTTGTGGATGATTGCATAATATACTGCATAATATACAGAACAAAAAGAAGAATGAAGATGCCCTTACTAAGTTACTTCATAACAACGAAAACCCAGGCAACGAAAACTTCATAAGAAATGAGCGATCATACCCTAAAGGAAGTTTATGATAAAAAGTACCTCGGCATAACAATTAATGATAAATTGAAATGAAACAAACAAGTTCAAGTTGTACGCACAAAGGCAAACACCACTTTGAGTCTTTTACGCAGAAACATGGGGACCTGCCCACGTGCTGTAAAACAGAGTGGCTATGTGTCACTTGTAAGACCAATTTTAGAATATAGCAAGCAAAACATCAATAAAATAGAGATGGTACAAAGAAGGGCTGCCAGATTCGTTGTTGGAAATTACAGCTACTATGCAAGTCCAACAGCAATGATAAAAGAATAAGGATTGCAGTCACTCGCTGAACGATGAGCAAAAGCAAAAGCAGTGGTGATGTTCAAGATTCAGAACAACCTGATTGCAATACTGCAAAGTTTAATTCAACAACATTCTCGTCATTCTCGTAGAAGCCAAATGTTTTTATCATGCCTCTCTGCAGAACAGACTGTTACAAATTTTTATTTGTCCCAACATCTATTAAAATCTTGAATGAACTTCCTCCTTACGTCAAGGAATGTTAATCATTAAATAACTTCAAGACAGCTATAGATGACATAAATGTTTCCAGTTATTACTGAAGAGTACAAAAACTGTTCTAGCTAATTATTTTACTAAGAACTGAAAAGAAACTTAAAATTTAATTGCATCTTTTACCACTTAGTTTGTTCCTTTTTGGGAAACTTATACTCCTCAACATAAACCAATCATCCCAATTCACAAATTTTGCCCTTATTGCACTACTAAGTCTCAATTCGTTCAAAAATCTCTAGCAGTATAGTTTCCTAAAAAGTGCAAAACATTAAATTTTATTAATTAACTGCTAACAACTAACCACTAACAAAACTGTGCGTAATACCCATTGTTTGGTATTTGTACATTATCTGATAGATAGAACTGTTTAATCTACCAGTGACTGTCCTGGATAGCAAGCAGATTTTGAAACACTTCAAAAAGCAAATAGGGCAATTTTTAAATTTGATTAACTGCAAAACTCATGCAAGGGAAAGACCTAGGGATAAAGTTGCTCTTGAGGAGAGAAAAAGCAAAAGATTTGAATTAAAATAGAATTAGGCCCTTTATTTTAAAAACAATTCTTAAAAATAATTGGTGGGCTGACAAAAAGAGAAAAAGAGAACGTATAACGACAGGTGTGAATGTAATGCATGGCAATTTTTAACTTATTTTGAGAAAATTCTAAATTTGGATTTTTACCAACCAAAAATTAACATACTGGAAGTAGAAACGTTCCGGTTTATAGCGTGCGACATTCAAATAGGCATTCAGATTCAAATAGACAGTTGCAAAGACATTCGGACTTTGATGGCTTCTTACAAAAAAACTATAAAAGATATTAAAAATATATTTTATAGTGGGAAACCTGGCTGGATTCTCTGTTGATTCGTGTATCTTACTCTTAATAAGACGCGCTATACTTCCAAAGGTGCTAAAAGTCGAAAAAATTTGACACGGCCTAAATTTCACTGCAAATAGACATTCGGACTTTAATCGATTCGCATGAAAAGATAAAAGCAAGTAGCCAAAAGGACTTTAAATGACGAAAACTTTCGCTAGAATAAGGGAAAAACCTCCAATTTTTTTGACACGACCCAAGTTTGAATTGGCGACCGACCCTCGCAATGTCGTAGCAGACCCTCATTTCAAGCGACGCCGAAACACTTATAGGGAAACATCTAAATCGACATAAAAGTACAAAAAACCTACCCTTAGAACAAATTATCTCTAACTTAGATCAAATAGCAGCAAACTGTAGACATTTGTACACAGCAGTACAGCGACGGCGTTGTCGGTATACAAAGAAAGGATCTCAGTATACAGGTTTTGAAGAGCCTGAGGCCCTGTTCACACGATACCTACCTTTCGTATCAGATCACTTTTCATATCGGATCATTTGACACCTGGAAATCCTGTACTTTTGACACCGGAAGCCACACGCAACATCTAAGACACAGCCAATGGATTAAGGGGTAATCCGAAGTTTAAAGGCAAAGTACCGAACAGTTTTGGTGCAGAACTTGCAGTAGGAATGTCGTTTATTAACATAAATAATTATTATGCTAACCTCGCTTTCGTTTGTATATAACACTAAGCCTATTGTATAGTAATTCAGTAAGTGATTAACCTCAACACGAGTCGCTCGCTTTTTGTCTTCACTCTCAATTCGTTGACTACTCGAAGTGACAAGGGTTTTAGAGAAAGTCTAACAGACAAATATGTCGTCCGAATTTCAACTGCAGGCTTTTGGGACATGTCTTGTAGTAATTGCATCTAAACACGGTAACCAAAATAACCTTGTTAAGTTGACACAATTTAATTCTTCTCTGATTGAATGATTGTGGATCTGTGGAACTGCTGCAGATGATTTTGTCTTCAGATGTGATAAATACGAATCCTTGTCCATAAGCGGCTTTAATATAGTGTTTCACTATGTTCTACAGTTTCGCGAATGTCTTTGCGTCTGCGATAACTCTTTCTGAGAGTCTCAGCCCATAATTCCATGGATCTGTGGGAGAACACAGCAAATTTTGGAACCAAAAGTTTCAGCGATGCCTCAAATCTCGACGATTTGCTTGTTGTTTATGCACATAAACCACTCATTTGTGGGTTTGCACTCCTGCATTGCATGAACAAGCAGCACAAATACATCAGTATCCTTCGCAACAACAACTACTTTTGCATCTGTCGAGTTAGCATGCAAAATCATTCTGGTTTGAGCCTTTTTGTGGTTTCATCTTGGAAGGACTTCTATTTGCTTTTGAAGTCTTCCATGCTTCTTCTCCGTAAGTTATAACCAATGGAACTGTCACGAGCCTGTGACCCTCAGCGCTTAGAGATATTTTGGGAGCAAGTTTTAATAGATTTTTTTTGTTTACATCATTGTAAAAAACCCTATTTTACCTTGGAGTATCTTTTGCTCTAAATTTTTTTATGCACTAGCCTTGATGACTCACTTCTACTTTGTCGAGCGCACAAAAATCTAAGAAAACGAAAGCAGTCTCAATAGTGAAGGATGACCACCAAGCTTTTGAGACTGGCAAGGCTGTCTCTATCGAAAAGGCATTTGCACATCTCATCAAAACCATAGTTCTAGTCTTGCAACTCCTGAAGGTGTGCTGTGACAGGGAAATGAAGCTGTTCTTCTTAATTTCATGTGCAAGGAGTCAAATCCATATGTAAATCAACCACCAGAAAACGCCAGATGAAGTAAGGGTGCGATGATCATATTTCGCAGGAGAAGATAGTCTTATTAAAGAAAGTCATGTACCTTCAGCCCAGCGCGAGGGCATCTTGGATAGCCTATAGTTTCAAGACATTCTTCCGACTTGGTGCAATAGTCAAATGCAGATGCAAAGAACTTATTATCCGGTTCAGAGTGGGAGCAAGACTTTGCAACTACCGAGGAAGAAGTGACTGACTCGTCAGATAGCACTACCTTATTCGAAATTTTGCTACTGCAGTTCGTGCAAACGTAATTTAAATGATCTAAATACTAATTATTTGATTGGAAAAAGTATTAAGAAAATGCTTTTGGTGACATCCAGCCTCATATTAATACAAAGTTATGCCAATGTATCATTTTATGACAATAAGATCTTTGATGACGTCATGCAAATTTTTGATGACGTCAAAATAAAAATACTGATGGCGGAAAATTATGCTTAAATGTACATCAATTAAAAGCTTGCAACGAGACGAGTCAAAATATGTAATTTGCGTCAAAAAATAACAATCCAGTAAAGAGCTAGCGATGATTTTGTCTGATTTTTTACCTTTAAATGATGTCATCAGTCCCGTGACATCCAGGCATTTTTAAAAAAGTCACCTGGCAGATTATGAAAGCCTGGACTCCCTACTACAAGAATCCGTTGAGAAAGTAAACATTATCTTTAATTTCAGATTGTCAGGCTATGTTTCCTGTCTTTCGTGTTTACATCTTACGATGCATCTGAATTCACAATTAAAGCGCTCTCTTTTAAATCTACAGTCCCTGGTTCTGAGTAACCCTACAAAATTCTCCAAATTTAACTACCAATAAGAAGCAAGAATAACATGTGCAGTTTTACGTCACTAAAGCTAATTAACAGCAATTTCTATGTAGAAATAACGCTGCATGCCTATAACACGCTGAACGCTTATAACTAAATTTACCTAAACATGTATCTGTAGCTAAGTTATGGAGTAAACAAGCAATGTTAAAGGTTCTCCCGCGATCCTAACGAGTTCACCATGCGATCCATCTAAGTGAACCGCAGGAAAAACAACTAATCACTACACAATTCTGCATTTATAGCAAATAATTTACCTTACGTGTAGCAATTATGGTTAGAAGCAAAATGCCCGAAAGCAATGGAAAAGTTCCGACATGTTCTGTCGTTTTGAAATTTCGGTGATAAAAGATTTCGGTTCCAAAAAAGATTCGGTTGTAAATCGCGCCGAAATATTTGGTACTTGATGCAAGCCTCCTCGGTCTTCAAATAAAAACAACAACTAAAACTTAGCCTGCGCGCAGACTCGATTGGTTTTTCCATTCAACTTAATTCATCTCTGGGAAAACCAGTTGAGTCTGCGTGCAGGCTACTAAAACTTAGACAAGTGATTCATTTATTGAGCAGTTGTGAAGCCATCCTAATGACTACAACAAAATTATGCTCGAATCATGGAGGAACAGGAGTGGCGGCATGGGGGGGGCAAGGGGGGGCTTTAGCCCCCCCCTAGATTTTTGTTAGCCCCCCCGTCGGCAGCCAATCAATTTTGGCTTTCTCAATACCGTCGGCACTTGATGGATGTCACCCGGTTTACATCTTGTTTGAATGACAAAAATAATCGAGGAGAAAACTGCACTGGCTGGTTTATGGTTTTCTCAATGGCTTTTCTTCGGCAATTTTACTATCATAGTGGCATTATATCCTGTCGCTTCCGTGAAAGCCTTTTTTCGTTTCAAGACATTATTATTGCCAATGAAGACATTTCGATCATGAGCACATTTTGCGTAATAAATTTTTCAAAAAGCACTTCTTGTCCTTTTTCATCAACTATTTTTCAATAGCATTGTTCACCGCATAGCTTCCGACAAACAAATGTTTTAGAGAAAACCATCGATTAACTTCTTCCAACATGGATAGGAAGAAATATTCAACAATAGGCAATATTTGCGCATTAAGTTTCTTACAAGGCACAATTTGCCGAGAAAATCTCGTGGACTCCGACACAGGTTGGAAAATGGGGGCGGGGAGGGGGCAAGGGAGAATTTTGTACCCACAACAAACGATTTAGGAAAAATGCTCTATTGCTTGCTCTATATGCTTGCTTGCTCTTGGAAAAATGCTCTAGATCGGTGCCCTTTCATTGGAGGTGCTGCTCAGGGGGCGTCGAGACTGGGGGGTTGTCACACCCACCCCAATAGTATCTCAATAGGAAATTTCAGGTAAAATCCGCTCGGTGGAAGAAACGCTTTAGGTATTTCAGAGACCTTCCTGTCATAAAATCAATGAAGGATCAAGCAATCTTAGGTAAAATTGTGCCTCGTGTCCATTTCTCCTAACGTTTCTCAGTAGAAGCGTCAACTGCAATTCACTATGAGCTCCAGATTTTTCTTAACATTCATAAGGCATGCTAAGATGGAGAGAGGGATCTAAATTTAAAAGTAACTGACAACCTGGTATTTTTCAAGACCACGGCGAAATTGTTGTTTTTATCTGCTGTAAAAATTTTTTGCAAAAAGACAATAATTTTCAATAGGATTAGGAGGATTGCTTTAGTGAAATCTGCTTAAAAGAGTGAATTTTCCAGGGAACTAGAAGCATCACAATTCGAAAATTTCCTGCCCCTTCGGCGGCAACCATGGTGCCGCCTCAGGTAGTAACTATGTATTTTGCCCGTCCCGATATAGAGATTTGACAAGACTTTTAGAAAAGTCGGTTATTATCATACAAAGTTAGATTGATAAAATGTATTGCAGAGGTTTGTGACACCAGCTAAAAAGTTTCAGGCAATAATTTTTTAATCAGGTAAATTTGCATTCCACCCCCCAACGAGGCTTGCCTCGCGACGGCCCTGCCTGCTATATGGGGCAAATCGAATTTTTTTTTCTGTCGGCAATTTGACACATCAAACTTCGGCACCTTCAAGGTTTGTCTCTAGCGCCACTCCTGTGGAGGAACTCCATCAATGTTATGATCACATTCAAACGTCACATCTTTCATCTTACGTCATAAGACATGCTAGGGTGAAACTACTTCAAGTTCAATCGCGTAACTTAAATGCAGTCCGACCTGCACTTCATGGTTGCATTGACAAATCTCGGGAAAATTCAAAATGGCAAGTACAGAAAGCAATATTGGATCAGCAACAAATAACAGCAAAGAGCATAACATGATACCAGGATATACAGGTATGAGAAGCTTTGTGTGAATATCTGAAGGAAATAAGTGAAAAGAAAAGCATAATACCAAGATAAAATAAAGAACTTTTTTTTATCTTGCTTATACTAAAATCACATTGTTTGATCGGGAAAATGAACAGGTTTCTTTATTTAATGAACAGAATCAAAATTTAAAAATAATTTTAAAAGCAAATTAATTATGGAAGTGCAAGTACGAAGAATCTTTTGTACATTATAAGTAGTCAACAAAAAGGGCAGCAAAACGAAGACTGTTGCTTGTCATCCTGAGGCTTGCACATTGATGCATTTCACTAACGCTTAGCTAGGCTGCTTTTTGAACAAAGAATAGGGCAATTTGCATCATAATCAAGAGTAGACAGAAGGAGTGTTATATGCTAGCCTTCTGATCCATATGCATCATCATACCAAATTTTATTTCCGCCTTCGAATATTTTGGGCTCAGCAAAAAATATATGCAAAGCAATTGAAATATGCAATCATTGTTATCTGCTGTCTACTAATCACTTGCAGACTGTGCAGAGTAAATAGTCGGGAATTTCCATAATATATTATTCAATAAAATTGATCAACGTGGTTCTCCGAAAGCCGCGAAGATTTTCGTTTTTTTGTCTGCACTATGTCTTACACTCTTGTCAAAAGGGCTTTGTGGGAAAGATGGGCGTGCCTTGTATCTTCTTTACCTAAAAAATGTAGAAATGCAAAGCAATATTTGTAATTACGATAAAGTCCCTGTACGCTAGGGTTATATTTATGAAACTAAATTTTGACTCTAGCTTCGCCTACCTTTGTTTTCCAAATAGTCATTAGTACTATACGGCTCACGCTTTTCTCTTTTACATCTTTATCAAGATATTCATGAGACATTTCGACATAATTTTTCTCAATAACTCTTTAGATTAACGGTTTCAAGAATCTCCGGGTATCTTTTGAATTTGTGCACAGGGTCAAGAAAATATGGAATTATCCTTGATACCTCACGCCAAGTCTTGCCTAAAATGTTTCATTTAAATACCTTTCGATTTGAGTTGTAGTTGATTACAAATATACGGTGGGCCATAACTGCCACTCACTGAAATAAACTGATTCGCATAGAAATGAAACAGATTCACATTGAAACAAACCGATTCACGTAGAAAGAAAAACCACTCACACAAAATTCAAGTGAGTCGCACAAAAAGAAAAAAGACTCGCAGAAAAATGAAACTCGTCACAAATTTTTAGTTTCAGTCGCATAAAATACTGCAAATCGCACATAAAGCAGAATGGGTCGCACAATTAGAAAAGAGGTCGCACTTAAAGAAGAATGGGTCACACGTTAGAAAAGGGTAGGTTTTGTATTGAATTGAATTAATTTTTGTTCAGCGATGTTGTTTTGCCCAAACTGCGGGAATTTCAGAGTCAAGACCCACTTTCTCATCATTGAAATAGAATAATATGCGCGTAGATTTGAACTATTAGGACTATTGTTCAATTCGATCACAGAAACATGCAGACAGGCTAAAAGTCCAAACTTAGCTAGTTACCCGAACTGCAGTGTACGACAGTTTCCTACGAGATCTCCGGTAGGCAAGAGCAAAAATTCAATTTACAAATGTACACTATGACATAAGTTTATACTTCTAGTGTACACACAAATATTAAGTTTTACATACAAATAACTTCGTGAGAAACTCAAGAGTTGCAATGCAGAAATGCGAATTAAGAGTACGAAAGACAAAAGGTTGCCCTTCAATCAATGGCTGTAGTTTTATCACAGAGAAGAACGATCTCCGTGTCTCTGATTCATAAATATTGTATCGTTGCGCAATATAGTTAAGAATCCTTAAGAAACTATTTTAACAATTATACCTAAAGAGCGCGTTTCTCTAGTTTTGCGAGAGACTGGAGGCCTTGGTCATTCCTTGGCCGAGCTTGCTTTCGAGGGCCATGTAGAAATGCTCTATTTGACACAGGCCAATATTATACAGCACTAACACATGGGGCCTTCGGTACCCTATCTAGTATTAGATGAGATGAGTTCAATCTGCTATAGCGATGATTTAAACAAAACTTGAGCTATGAAGGGAAAAGAAAGGCAATCACAATGAAACTTTTCGACTGGAATGGTCAATTTTATGGTCAGAAAAAGAAATCATTGCAAGAAAAGAAAAGCAAGAAAACGTTGCGAGAAAAGCATTCCAAGAAGACGTTGCAAGAAAAGCATTGCCATCAAAGCATTGAAAGAAATCATTGCAAGAAAAGAAAAGCAAAAAAAACGTTGCAAGAAAAGCATTGCAATAAAAGGATTGCAAGAAAAGCATTGCCATCAAAGCATTCAAAGAAATCATTGCAAGAAAAGAAAAGCAAAAAAAACGTTGCAAGAAAAGCATTGCAACAAAAGGATTGCAAGAAAAGCATTGCCATCAAAGCATTCAAAGAAATCATTGCAAGAAAAGAAAAGCAAAAAAACGTTGTGAGAAAAGCATTTCAACAAAAGGATTGCAAGAAAAACATTGCCATCAAAGCATTGAAAGAAATCATTGCAAGAAAAGAAAAGCAAAAAAAACGTTGCAAGAAAAGCATTGCAATAAAAGGATTGCAAGAAATCATTGCAAGAAAAGAAAAGCAAAAAAAAGTTGCAAGAAAAGCATTGCAATAAAAGGATTGCAAGAAATCATTGCAAGAAAAGAAAAGCAAAAAAACGTTGCAAGAAAAGCATTGCAATAAAAGGATTGCAAGAAATCATTGCAAGAAAGGAAAAGCAAAAAAAAGTTGCAAGAAAAGCATTGCAATAAAAGGATTGCAAGAAATCATTGCAAGAAAGGAAAAGCAAAAAAAAGTTGCAAGAAAAGCATTGCAATAAAAGGATTGCAAGAAATCATTGCAAGAAAAGAAAAGCAAAAAAAAGTTGCAAGAAAAGCATTGCCATAAAAGCATTGAAAGAAATCATTGCAAGAAAGGAAAAGCAAAAAAAAGTTGCAAGAAAAGCATTGCCATCAAAGCATTGAAAGAAATCATTGCAAGAAAAGAAAAGCAAAAAAACGTTGCAAGAAAAGCATTGCAAGCAAAGAACTGTGAGAAAAGGATTGCAAGAAAAGAAAAGCAAGAAAACGTTGCAAGAAAGGCATTGCAAGAAAACGTTGCAAGAAAGGCATTGCAATAAAGGGATTGCAAGAAAAACATTGCCATCAAAGCATTCAAAGAAATCATTGCAAGCAAAGCATTGAAAGAAAACGTTGCAAGAAAAGCATTGCAAGCAAAGCATGGAATGAAATAATTGCAAGAAAAAAAGCAAGAAAACGTTGCAAGAAAAGCATTGCAAGCAAAGCATTGAAAGAAGTAATTGCAAGAAAAGAAAGGCAAAAACAATGTTGCAAGAAAAGCATTGCAAGCAAAGCATTGTGAGAAAAGAATTGCAAGAAAATTTTGCAAGAAAAGCATTGCAAGCAAAGCATTGAAAGAAGTAATTGCAAGAAAAGAAAGGCAAAAACAATGTTGCAAGAAAAGCATTGCAAGCAAAGCATTGTGCGAAAAGCATTGCCGTCAAAACATTGAAAGAAATCATTGCAAGAAAAGAAAGGCAAAAACAATGTTGCAAGAAAAGCATTGCAAGCAAAGCATTGTGAGAAAAGCATTGCAAGAAAACGTTGCAAGAAAAGCATTGCAAGCAAACCATTGCGAGAAAAGAAAAGCAAAAAAACGTTGCAAAAAAGCATTGAAAGAATTAATTGCAAGAAAAGAAAGGCAAAAACAGTGTTGCAAGAAAAGCATTGCAAGCAAAGCATTGTGCGAAAAGCATTGCAAGAAAACGTTGCAAAAAAAGCATTGCAAGAAAGGCATTGCAATAAAAGGATTGCAAGAAAAGCATTACCATCAAAGCATTTAAAGAAATCATTGCAAGAAAAGAAAAGCAAAAAAAAGTTGCAAGAAAAGCATTGCAATAAAAGGATTGCAAGAAATCATTGCAAGAAAGGAAAAGCAAAAAAAAGTTGCAAGAAAAGCATTGCCATCAAAGCATTGAAAGAAATCATTGCAAGAAAGGAAAAGCAAAAAAAAGTTGCAAGAAAAGCATTGCAATAAAAGGAATGCAAGAAATCATTGCAAGAAAAGAAAAGCAAAAAAAAGTTGCAAGAAAAGCATTGCCATCAAAGCATTGAAAGAAATCATTGCAAGAAAAAAAGCAAGAAAACGTTGCAAGAAAAGCATTGCAAGCAAAGCATTGAAAGAAGTAATTGCAAGAAAAGAAAGGCAAAAACAATGTTGCAAGAAAAGCATTGCAAGCAAAGCATTGTGAGAAAAGAATTGCAAGAAAATTTTGCAAGAAAAGCATTGCAAGCAAAGCATTGAAAGAAGTAATTGCAAGAAAAGAAAGGCAAAAACAATGTTGCAAGAAAAGCATTGCAAGCAAAGCATTGTGCGAAAAGCATTGCCGTCAAAACATTGAAAGAAATCATTGCAAGAAAAGAAAGGCAAAAACAATGTTGCAAGAAAAGCATTGCAAGCAAAGCATTGTGAGAAAAGCATTGCAAGAAAACGTTGCAAGAAAAGCATTGCAAGCAAACCATTGCGAGAAAAGAAAAGCAAAAAAACGTTGCAAAAAAGCATTGAAAGAATTAATTGCAAGAAAAGAAAGGCAAAAACAGTGTTGCAAGAAAAGCATTGCAAGCAAAGCATTGTGCGAAAAGCATTGCAAGAAAACGTTGCAAAAAAAGCATTGCAAGAAAGGCATTGCAATAAAAGGATTGCAAGAAAAGCATTACCATCAAAGCATTTAAAGAAATCATTGCAAGAAAAGAAAAGCAAAAACAATGTTGCAAGAAAAGCATTGCAAGCAAAGCATTGTGAGAAAAGCATTGCAAGAAAACGTTGCAAGAAAAGCATTGCAAGCAAACCATTGCGAGAAAAGAAAAGCAAAAAAACGTTGCAAAAAAAGCATTGAAAGAATTAATTGCAAGAAAAGAAAGGCAAAAACAGTGTTGCAAGAAAAGCATTGCAAGCAAAGCATTGTGCGAAAAGCATTGCAAGAAAACGTTGCAAAAAAAGCATTGCAAGAAAGGCATTGCAATAAAAGGATTGCAAGAAAAGCATTACCATCAAAGCATTTAAAGAAATCATTGCAAGCAAAGCATTGAAAGAAAACATTGCAAGAAAAGCATTGCAAGCAAAGCATTGAAAGAAGTAATTGCAAGAAAAGAAAGGCAAAAACAATGTTGCAAGAAAAGCAGTGCAAGTAAAGCATTGTGAGAAAAGAATTGCAAGAAAATTTTGCTAGAAAAATAAAAAATTTCCATGCAAGCAATGGAAGAAAGCAATACAATAGAAACATTGCAACAAAAACATTATATGAAAAACACTGCAAGAAAAGCAATACAAGAAAAACATTGCAAATTATTCATTATTAGTGTTCATTGATTCCATTGTTTACTCTTATGTTTAAGAGCCTGTTCTCTGTGTTTTTTCTCGAATGTTTTCAATGTGAAATAAAAAAAATGTTTAGGCACTCTGAATGGTTAAGTTTAAAGCCATTTGAGCACTCCAGATCTACTAAATTCAGAATTCTTCTGCCCCCAACTCTAGACCCAAGTTCCATTTTTCCCTAGCTGCACTCATGAAATCACACAGGTATTATTTTCCAAAACTTGGCAACCTTGCACAATTTTTTTTCAAAAAAACTGCTGCTTCAATCAAAACATTGAGGATAACATCAAAATCAGCAAAAAAGTTGTCAAATAAAACCCAAGATCTCTTAGACCTCAAAAATTCAAATAAAAGATTATCATATTTCCTCTAAAGAACGCTGCAACTTTTATCACAGAATCCAACTTTTGGATGCCGACTTTAATACAAAATTAAAGGCTTGTCAAATTAAAAATGACAAAAAAGTGCATTGAAAAAAGATAAAAACAGACTCTCTGGGTCATTCTATGTCAAATTTAAGGTCATATCACCCACCTACTTGGATTTTGATAAATTTGACCATGTATATTCTCAGAAGAAGACAAATCACCCAAAATTTAAGCACAATTGGTTAAGGTGTTCCTGAGATACAGCCAGTCACAAATTTTGGTCATTTTAGAATATTTTTGTGATGGCAGTGCTTCCCAATACAAGTATTACCAATATTTCTTGAATGAGACATTCCATCTGCAAGATTTTAGGTTGTGTGCAAAATGGACAATATTTGCATCAAGCCACAACAATTCTCCCTGTGATGACATTGGAGGAACAGTTAAGAGACTAACAGCTAGGGCAAGTGTAAAAAGACAATATTCTTAAAAAGTATTGTCTTAAAAATATACAAGCTAAAATTTATCAAAATCGGCGAAGGTGGTCTATGAGAGAGTGGGTGACATGGAATGAATCCCCTGTTATGCTTTGATATTTTAAGGCACAATGGCTGGTTTAATTCCAATTATGTTTAATGGCATGAATCTAAGAAAGAATTTTTGAAACACATGTCTCATTAAAACATATTACAAAGTTTTGTCTGGGTACACTAAATAGAAAATATTATCATTGAAAATGTCAAATTGTCATTATTAAAAAAATTTGCTTATCTATTGTACTAATCTATTTAATATTCATATTGGCTATTGAGAGATACTCATTTCACTTTGATCCATAAACAATGTCACCAACTTTAACAGAGCCAGGCGTTTCAATTCCCAAGTTTCTTCCAAAAACTGGGGAATTGCCAAATGATGGATCCTCCTCCTTAGGAACAAGTCTGAAAGACCTGAGACTTTGCAGCGGTTCTTTGCTGTCTCTTAACCCAGTCTCCGGATCAACATTAGGCACAGTGCAACGGCCACATCTATGAAGGCATCGAAACTCTGATGTTCCAATTTTTAAATAGTTCCACTGGTCCTCTTCAAAAGCATTACCCCCTTTAATGACAATATTTGGCCTAAACCTTTCCATTGAGCATTTAAATTTAGCACAATTCTTGTTCAATTCTTCAAGAGATTCCTCTGATATTAAAAGGTACGGACATCCATCAGAGAAAGCAACTTTGTCTTTTTCGTGTATATAAGGTTTGTTAGCATTCGACATATGCAATGTTAGCTTTCTTGGGATACATCTCGTGGAATCAAACACTAACAGTGAGTGGGGCTTCCCCAAGTATTTCGAAAGCCACTCGTCTGCTTCTTTGCTTACACGAATTCCTGACCCAGACATTCCAAAAAGCTCAACATCAACAATCTCTGGCTCTTCTTTAGCAACACTGAGTGGAACAAAAAGTGGTTCCATGCCAGGGGCCTCGACTTTCAAGAAACCATCAACAAAGGTCGGAATGATATGTACCAAGGCCGTGTTACTCCGCAAAGTGACCATTCGCCCCCCACGATCCAAAATCGTCCAATGCCTGTCATAGACAATTCCATACTCATTGCAACTGGCTTCTGTTATAGCGATGCCCTTACAAGACTTCAGTGGATAGAAATTTAAACCAGTAACGACGCCAATGTGCTGGTATTCTCTGGCCATTGCCAAGTAATTTGCGACCAACCAGACCAAACCAAAAGGAATCACGAACATGAAGGAAATTACCACAGGGGATAAAGGATTGGAAATGAATTTCAAATCAAAATTTCGAGCCTATTTCTATAAAAGAAAGAGCCTTTGCCTTGCACTCTCTCAAATATAATAAAGAAAACTTCCTTGGGCGCAATTTGAATTGTCGATAGCTTTGAAAGAAGGCTTGTTTGAAGAGGGCTTGCGAGGGGGGTGTGATAGGGTGCGGGGATGTGGGAGGGGGTGCTGGGGGGATTCGAGGATGGGTGCCTTCTACATTTGCCATCATTTCGCACAGTTTGTTTGTTATCAAAAATAAGCTGTTTGCAAGTACAACAAAGAAACTTAAGCGTGAAGTTGGCCTCGTTTTTTCTAGAAAGTTTCAAGCTCTGCCGGTGTACTAGCGACTTTCTTTATAACTGCTATGCAAGTTGCGATTATAAAGGATAAAAACTTCAATTTAAGGATGACTAAGGCAATATCCACGATTTGCCAAAAATCTCGTATTAATGAAGCAATTTTGAAGATTTTTGAAGTTTGGACAATTTTACTATGCCCCAAAGAGTTTGAATTACACAGAGTTGAATGTACACACATTTTTTAATTACATATGGAAAAACGTTATAATGAAAGTGGCATATTTAATTCAGAAATAAAAAACCTATCACAAGCATTATTTATATATAATTTTTTTTCAGCTAAAACATTTTGTGGAAGGGTACTTTTTTGAGTGTAGCCCCTTTTAAAGATTTTGATAGTTACATACAAGGGGCGCTTTTTGAGGCTGGGCCCTTATTAAAGAAAATACGGTAATATTGTGGGATCAAAGATACTCGAATAGTGACTGGATAGGAAACTGCGAAGCGGACAATAGAACATGTTACGCATCACTGCTTATTCAAACTTGTAGGGAATGATCATTTCCGGTTTGTTTGGTTTTGACTGATAATGACGAGCTTCGCAGCTATTTGGCACGGTAGTTAACTGTTGTAGACTTACCAAGATAAGCTAATTTGTCCCTTGTTACGTTTTCAACGAAAAATGAAAGAAAAAAGGAGTGGAGGACGCAGCTTTTGTGTAAAGTAAAAAGATGCGATAGGAGTTTCAACGCAGAGAGGGCCTACATCTGCGCAAGGCATTTTGATCAACATTGCTTTAGGATCGGTAAGTCACTGTAACTTTCATTACTTCTTTCATTGATTATTATTTTTGCCTATTATTTTATAAGAGTTTTATTATTAAGATTGGATGCAGATCTCACGAAAGTCCCCCTGAGAAAAGTGTCAAAATCATCAACTGTCATTGAGACAAAAATATCTAACAAAATTAGAAGCAAAGTTGGGGGGCAACTCAAATTTTCTTTATCTTGTATTCATATTGACAATAAATTATTTCATAATGTTGTTTGTAGGAAAGACTGGAAGAAAAGACCTCCTTGTTGGAAGTTTGCCTACACAGTTCTTACATAAAAGAAGTCATGAAAATAACCAAGGGAAACAAAGGCATGAGCTTGAAAGACTTTTTCAAGAGGTGCCCTTACCAGTGCTTTACAAATGAAGAGGTTTCACAGATTTCAAAAAGAGCATTGGCAAAATAAAACAGCCCTGGGTCATTTTACATAGCTCTGATGAGACTGTACCCTTAGGTCTTGCTGACAAAACTGGTAATATTCGGAACAAAGTTTCTGTGGACCCCTTTTCGAATGATACAAATTTTGTTCTCTCTGAGAAATCCTCTGAAGAAAAGAAAGAGATGTAGCTTTCCTCTTATTTGGAAAGCGAGGAAAGTGTTTCAATGCTTCAGTAATAGAGGGGGCTAGTAATAATAACTAGAATACCAGCAATTTTGGCATAACGAGTTTTGTATATTGTTAAAAAGACCAGAAAATGAATATTTCTCTATTAGAATTATTTTTGTAATATTAGCTATATTTCAAGCTGTTTAGTTCATATTTCATCCATATTCAATTGTTGAAGTATTTTAAGAAATATTAACTTTTGCCTGATAGCTGAGCATTTCAAGTGGGCTTGCACATTTGTTCTAACATTTTCATCCTCCATACTTTCTGGAAATTTTCCCACATGGAATCCAGATAATTGGTTTGGCTTTCCAATTTGTTCTTAAAAAGACCTCTTGGGAAGCCTATTGTATCAGCAGGTCCTGCAAGTTCCAGTAGCCTCTGAAGAACTTTCCATACATTTCCATCAAAACCGTCTTGTTGGCCATCGATTCTAAAGCACCCTTAATGATTGAATTCATACAAATCTGAGGGGCATCATGTTCTTTCTCCTTTAAAGTCACCCCCTTTTTCTTACGATATGGCTCTTTAACTTTCCTTTTCTTTGCATTGCTCCTCGTTTGTTGGTGAATAACAAAATTTGACTGTCATCACAAAATTTAATAGTGGTTTCCTAAAAGAAAAACATCAATAATAATTTAACAAGACGTACACCTGCTACAGGGGTGCACAGCTCTGTACCCTCAAAAGTATAACAAAAACGGGAAACATGATTAGACGAGAAACTTTCCATTTTATTGTTTCGTGATTTGTTTATATGTTGACTGGTGCTGCTGCCGTGTCGATGAAAAATCAAGCCAAAGCCAACATCATTAATTTAAAACAAGTATCTTCCTAGGCCTAATTATAATGTAAATCAACATTTTCACTAGCATTATCCCTGGTTCATCGAACATACATTATGTTCAATCGGCATTCTTGCAATTACTCGTTAGAAAATGAAATATTGAAGTTTGATAGAAGGGCCTACATCGCCATGACTTAAATTCTTATTCGCGGAGACAGAGATAATGGCTGCAGCGCCTTTAAAGTACACAAAGAAACGGACTACATTACCTCGACAACAAGTTCAAGTAAATCTTCGTCGATTTGGCCATTAAAATAGGTGAAATCCATTCTTGGATGTTGCTTTTTTCGGTGAATGTCCTGGTCGTGAGACTAAACCGGAAATGACTATACCCTACAACTTTTCCAAAACACGCGATTGGAAGATAAACGTAATCGCCTATTGTTGTCTGCGCAGTTTCCTATCCAGTCACTATTCCAGTATCTTTGGTGGGATCATCCAATAGTTTTATGATCCTTAAGTTCTGTTTCATTTGTGAGCTTTAAAGGTTAAAGTAACCATTGAGTAGTAAGTATGTTCTGCATTTTTGACTTTCAAATTTTAACTGCAAGGATCTATAAATTTCACGTTGGTACAAAGTTGACAAATGGTTTTAAAACGCAGACCTTGGCAAACATATTGAAGCATTTGTCCAACTTTTACAGCAGTCATTAGACAAACCAGATTGTACCACAAGCTAGGGTTTCGAAATGTTTCTGATTATTAGCAGGGCCTTATCGTCGTCCCATCTTCCTTCAAGGAAAAAACTTTCGCATATTTTATATTTTTTGCGTTTTTCGCGTGTTAGACCGAAATTCGCAAAAGTTTATTTCAAGAAATTTTCAAAAATGCAAGAGTCGCAAAAGCTTTTATGGCGAAATTCCATTGAATGCAAAATTAGCAAAAGTTTACACCTGTGAAATATTTAAGAATGATAAAATTTGTGAAATGCTATCCCTGCATATTTGCATGAAATATAAATTCGCGAGGAAATATTATTCCTGCAAATTTTCTGAATATTATATTCTCAAAATTTCATTTTTGCTGAAAGTTAAAGCTGTTTATCAGCTGTGCTTTTTTAATTTTTCTGTCGAGCATTGAAATATAATTGAGGGGGACTTGCTTGCCTTTAAACTGACTAGAATTAGTCGAATGTTAATGTAATATAATGTTATGTAATGTAGCTTTGTAATTTGCTCGAAAAACCTTTCCTTGGTAGCATGATTTAAAGTTGTTGCTGTCATTTTCACAACAAATCAGGCACTGCAGAGCGTCGAGAAAAGTGGGGGTCTAAAGAAGAGGATTCACTGGTGGTTCATTTCTCGATATTTTGCGTTTTTTGTAAGAAGTGGAGGGAGTGGGCTTTCCCAGAGAAGATACTAATTTTTTAAATATTGCCAGCTATGAACAGAAAAAACTTTTGAATCAAACCTTTCTTAAAATAAAGAAAAATTGATTAAGATTTGATAAGGTTACCTTTTTTTCTATAGTATCTTTTTTTTAGAGCTGTTATGAATTTTTGCAGAATTTTTCATTTTTCCAGTCAATATATAAAACGAGTCTATCTACCTCATTTGCACATCTGCACAGTTAGTTTTATACTTTTGCCGAAAGATCTTGCAAATGGTAAATTATCGACAAGTATTGGAAATTGAAGTTGAAATTGCATTCAGATACATTTTTTCCTGTTTGAAAGTTATCGCACACACCCTATAGCTGGTTAATATTTAAAAATCTAATGAAATATACAAAGATAGCAATATACGAAATCAAACATAACCTGAACCCTAGTTCCATGAGTGATATTTTTTTGAAGCAAGAAATGTACATTATGATTTGCGAACTAAAAATAATCTTTACATTCCAAAAGCCAGGACAACTTCTTATGGTATAGAAACTGTGAGATATTTAGGTCAAAAGCTGTGGCAAACACTACCTCGCATTCTAAGAGAGTCCCAATCATTTGAAAAAGAATTAAGAGCACACACTGTAGAATGTGACTGTAGACTATGTAAAATATTTATTGTTTGGTTGGGAGACCAATTTAGACTTCAGTTAAAACTTGAAGCATATTACCAATCCTTTTCCTGCCGCGTAAACTACACCCCTGAAAAAGAAATGTTTATATGCCTGAATACATGTAGCCTTCAAGTTTTAACTGAGATCAAAACTGGTTTTGCTGCGGTAACTAGGTCTTTAATAGTATAGTCTGGCTTTACAACTTGGTACCTGAACTGCTTTAGGTTAGGCAGAAAAGGCTCATTTAAAAGGCTGGCTTTGTATGCTGAAGCATTCGGAATAAAAAGCGGAACACAACATTGTGTTACCATCTTATACCAAAAGTCTCACCAATGATAGGAGACTTTGTATCGCACGACGTTTCAGCAAAAAAGCCATTGAATTCGTGTATGCAGTTCTGAATGATGTAAACGTATCTTGAAATTAAATTGGATGAAAACTGGATAAATTGGATAAATTGGATACTCTTCAGGTTAAGATATCTACCGGAATATTTAAGTCTCGTTTGATAAGTCTCGATTTTCCCTGCTTTTCGAGTTTGGAATCAATGCTTTCGGTTTTGCTGATATTCTCCTACTAACCAAAACTAATTGGAGAACTCAACACCGCCATGACATATTTCCACATCCATTCTTCTTTGGTTTTTGCTGAGCTTGATTCAATTTCTCATTGAATTCAGGCTGAATACAAAATTAATCTTGCCTATAACTAGGGGGGCATGTCACCGCCAATCCCCCCGTGGCGCTGCTACGAATAACTTAGATTATGTTTTGCAAGTCTTACATTTTTCTAGATTATTTTTGGAGTTTAGTTTGTTTTTGCTAACTGAATTGCTTTTCTACTCGAATCATAATTTGGTGATTGACATAATAGACAAAGTTTTGCATTCATTCTATGGAACACGAGGTTTTTCAAAGTATGGGTTTATCCCTACGCAAAGCAACCCTTTCTGTTCAAACGAGGCTGTTAGCTTTAGATGGCAATCAGATTCAAGAATACGTTTTTCTCTGCAGCCAACATTAAAATTCCTTGAAAGAATCGTAACATTCTGTGCGGCTCTTCCAGTTTGCTCTTCTGTCAGCTTTATGGGAGGCTCGTTCTAGGCTTTTTCGAGCCATTTGTTATAGTGTTAATCTGTTGCAGGCTACATTCCATGTGGGAAGCACTTCTTTGGCGAAAGATACGCTGTTCTTATCAAAAGAGCTAAGGAAGACCAGGAATCAAATGCCAAAAAGACAAGCCACAACTCTGACAGGCAGAGTGGATCCCACCTGTACAAACTGGCAGAGATAAGATCGAGACATGTCCAGAACGGAAGGTTGCTTACTCCATTGAAACCAATTGCTGAAAAAGCGCAGATGTACTATCCCAAAACCACCCAACACTCAGTCTCGCCCTATACACTACGCAATGACCACCCTGGGAAACACTTCATTGCAGGGTACACTGGGTTTGTCCCACGTGCTAGGCAGTACATGGGTGAGAAACACATATTATTATTGTCACTAGGCCGCTTTACGTGCAACCTTTTTGGTTGGTACAAACAAGGGACAAATCATTTGATTGAAATCTCGATGGAAATCTTCGGTTGAAATGCAATCATCTTATTCTAAAATCCCTGGAAATCCTATTGTTTTCGTTGAAATCTCTTTAGCTTTTTGCAAGAGAGAATCGCTTTGCTGATCCAAATTGGATGCGTTCAAAAACACAGGCTGTGGTTCGGGGCAGCCGGCATCTAAGAAACAAGGAAAGGCAATGCATTATCTTAGTTGCTTACTTTAAACATTAGTTTTTCCTAGGATACAAGTAAATTATATAATAATGCAACAGCTTCCAATGGTCCCAGCAAAAGAAATAAACCTAACTATTAAAGCTAAAAACCTGCTTGAAAAATGAAGATAAAGATGTATATCAGCTTTCGTTGTATGAACTCAGTTAAAAGCTTTTAGTTTCGTTTTGAATGACAGAATGTTAGGGACGGGGCTCATTTCCGAGTCAAGTCTATTCAATGTGTTGGCCCCTCGAAATGCAGATGACTATTGGCCATAAGCTGTAAATATATTTCAAAATTTTATCACCCCAAAGTATCCATTACAATTTCACTTCTTTCCCAACCCATACAAATCTGTAAGTGCCGTAACCAATCAACCTTTTAAAAGATGAAGGATATTTTAATTTCCAAAGGTATGAGATACCCAGTCGTAACGAACAAAGCATTGTGCGAATTCACTGACGACATGAAAGACTTCCTAAGTTACCATGACAAACCATTGGATCTTCATCGAAAAATTGGACAAGACGTCAGAACAGTGACAATTTATCACCAAGAGTCAGGGATGGTACCAAGATATACAGGTCATATACAAGGTACGTAAATGTTTGTTTATCTAACGACTGTCCCTTAATTACCAACAGTACTATTTTTTAACTATTGTCTATCGATGAATGCTTCTTGACGCAATACTGACGCAATACTGACACTGTGGATACTGTAAATGTGCAACATTATTTGGTACAAGTTTCGAAGATTGAGCGTTTTCGTAATTCTGGTTTGAACTGTAACAGGCTCAACTTAGACGCTGAAGATATAATTTTTCCAAAATTAAGATGGTTTAACAGAGAAGCTACTGATGCAAAATTCCCAATCTCATTGAATAGAGGTTCAAAAGTTTTGAATTTGTTGTTTTGTTTGGAAAAGACTGCATACTTTTGATTTTGATCTACATTGATTTTGATCTAAACGATCTGCGTTTATATTCTTACAAAAATGCTCAACTTTAAAACAATGAGGAAATTTTAGGTCCCGAAAAGTTTGCCAAAGTTTAAATAACAAATTAAGAAATTTCTAGTAATTAGTCCTGATCCAAGTTTCTTACAAAAAGCGTGTAACACAACGAAATTGAAAATCTTCTTTCTAAACTGCATCTTTACTGTAAAGTTTTTAAATGCCATGTGTCTTCTAATTTGTCTTGCTCTGAAAAACTATTGTTATTCTGAGCAAACTATTATCAATTCTCCTCTTTCTTTTCACTGACGCTTCAATTAACCAACAGTTAAGATAAGTAGCGTGTGAAGTGTAGAGAATATCTCTCACCAGTGACGTCATTTTAGGTGCCAAGTATAAATTTGGAAAGCGTTTTGGAGACAGCACCAAGGAAGCAATTTGCAAGGCGAAGGAAGCAATGAAAGCTTCTTGAAGGAAAGAGCAAAACATGAAAGCAGCAGCGATGAAGATACAATTAAATATAACGGTAATTGTTCTAAGACTTGCACTACTATAAGAATCCTAATTGAAACAAAATAGCATTATAATCATTAAGATTTCAGTTTTACTGAGTTGTATAAGTTGTCAAAGCCTCTTCACTTAACAGAATTCGCGGTATCACTATGTTTGCCATAACATGACTCTCAGGTTGTCACTCTCATTCTCAGGTCATTCTCGGAAAGATATAAAAATCCTTCTGGATTTGGCTTTGTATGCTGCTCTTTTTGATAGAGCAAATGACAGTCTGCAGAATCACGGAATTGATCCATTTGGAATAAGAACCGCAAAAGGCAGTAAAAGATAAAGATGATTTCGTCTTAGCATTGTCAATCTGCAAGTGGGTTGGCATGAATTGTGATGCTTTTAATTCTCAGCTCTTCTATGGGGCGATAGTTCTTTTCGTTCGTAGGGATTTTCTCGAATTCATCCAGAACATCAAAACCATCGATAAGCCTGTAATGATACGAAAATCAAAATAAGTAATTCTTAAGAGCAACAAAGATGATACGAAAATCAAAATAAGTAATTCTTAAGAGCAACAAAGAAAATACGATAAACAAAATAAGTAATTCTTAAGAGCAACAAAGAAAATACGATAAACAAAATAAGTAATTCTTAAGAGCAACAAAGAAAATACGATAAACAAAATAAGTAATTCTCACGAGCAACAAAGATATTGACAAAAGCATAAACTCGACAATCGACGTGGCACTACAAATACAAATCTAAAACTGAAAGGTGACAATATTGCAAGTCATGTCCATAAGGCTCGATGCAATAGGTTGTTGCCTGAGAGAAAACATAAGCGTCAAAAAGTTTTAATAAAATGACGTTTGTCTGTTTTGCCGTTGGGATAAATGCGCATCGAAAGAGATTAGAAATATAAAAGGCAAGTAGCTAGACATGAATTCTAATAGGTAAACTATAAAGCACCTGTATAAAAATGATCAACGTTGCAGAAAATTAGTTATTCGCCGAGGCATTGCTTCGTAGCCCAACGTTTGAACTGGTAGCGGATGATATACTGGGCATTAGATACACGGAGGAATTACAACCAGGCAAAATTCATTTTACCACGTAACTCTATTTTTGATAAGGCTCCGTATCCTTGATCAGCATTCTTAAAATCAAATGCACGAATCAGAGAGCATGTTAAAAAACGGGAGTCTAAACTCACCCTCTCCCAGGCTTAGAAAACTGTGGAAAGGGAACCATGGAAGACTTCAATTTTACGGGCGCATTAAAATGTTTCAATTTCTACAGTCTTGTGACATAACTAGAAAACTTCCTTTAAAAATCATCCTCAATAATTTTGTTATGTTAAATTCATCTCGTACACTTTTTTATGCTTCTCAGATAATCAATAGTGGATCCATTTGACAGAAATCAGGAATGAAGCAAGTTTTCCTAAATAAAAGTTATACCATCTTTAAAAAATGAAAATTACTGTCTGTCATAAAGTGCTCGATGCAGAAAAAGGCAGAACTGTACACGCTTTTGGTGCACATAACATAATGGAAGTTGCAACTGTTTGCTTAAGAAATATTAACAAGAAAAGGATTAAGAATGTTGTCTGACTTACCTGGCGAATACTGTGTATTTCATATCAAGATGTGGCTGTTTGGCATACACAATAAAGAACTGTGAACCATTTGTGTTTGGACCACTATTGGCCATTGAAATAATGCCTCTTGCGTTATGCTGAAGAAATAAAAACATTCAAACACATCTTACAACAATGCATCCAAGATGCGGTTATGCATTAGGGTTTTCACAATTAAATAGGGCTCTGAATGTTATCTACAGCAAATGCTGTGAATCAATGCTAAAAGTTTAGTTCTTCAAACACATCTTAAAACAATGCAATATGTGTGCAACGACAAACAATAAGCCAAGAATATTTTACTTTACCAGAAACTGATTAATAAATTGCTTCGTCCTTTAAACCTAGCAAATTTTGGACTATGGCTTATATCTGAAATCATTATTATTTTGACAAGATGTAAAGATTTCGTCTTGGGCCATATCTTATTCCATACATCATCTTATTGCAATATCTTTATACATTATCCTATTGCAATAACTTATTGCAATAACCATGTGATGGTTGAAACCAAAGTTTTTAGCTGTTGAAAAAATTCACAATTAAATGAACCAGTTGGTTAACAGAATCTCTGTCTAAGCATTCTTATAAAATTTTTGGCGGCACAGAACTTGATAATACACAAAGTATGTTGTGAAATGTTTGCTTCTTTCAAAGCCATATTTCCTATACCCACACTATTTAAAAATGAAGCAAAGTGAAAAGCATTTCGCTGTTCAGATTTTTCACAATCACCATCAAAAGTCATTGAAAAAATTGAAATTCGTGTGACGTCTATTGATACATCTGTGGAAAAGATCTAAGAAATAAATAGAACAATCTGCCTTGAAGTCTCAGGTTCTGGGCATCTTAATTTCAAAGTGGTATCACAATTCTGACAATTGTTTTGAATACAAAAATCAACTAAATAATGAAAAGTAAAGAAATAATAGGACCCTTAGATTACAGGGAACAAATTGAAATCCAATGAATTAATGTAAATTATTTCTAGAAACGATTTATCTACCTTCAAGTGTGGAATAATTTCATCTTCATATTTCTTCCCCCAAATACTCTTTCCACCTTTACCAGTTCCTGTTTTAATATAATGGGTTAGCATTGATACTCAATTTAAACCAAAGTATTTTCTAACAAAAATCATGATCCTTTTCTCTTTATTTAAAGTTTCTTTGAGCTATATCCGTGTTTTGAGGAAATCATAGTGGAATACAGCATTGGAAATGATAGCCCTTTTCACAATGGAAAAGAAATTTAGTTTACAAAATTATAACCATAATGTAAGCTAATAACAGAACATTCTAGAGGGGCATTGTCAAAAATGCAAAATGCAAAACAATTTTCAAAAATTTGGGCAAACGTTTTACAAATTAAATAGAAGAATTAATCTGAAAATTTGAAAATAAAAAAGTTATAAATCAATGTAACCTGAAGGATCTCCAGTTTGAATCATGAACCCTTTAATATTCCTGGTGAGGAAAATACATAATACAGATTTAATTGCTTTTTGCATTGTCAAAAACTTGTAAAAAAGCTAATGGAAAATCAAAACCTATCAAAAATTAAATTGATGGTCATATCAACCTCAGAAATATCAACTAAAAATTGCACTGATGTACTCTGTTTGCTAGGGTGAAATATAATTTTAGGTCTTTAAATTTCAATCTATTTCCAAATGAGAATATAATTCCACTGCATATTAGAGACTGCTTCTTCATTTTTCACTGTTCCAGCTCATCATTTCTATCTACTTAAAAACAAGGTAATGAAAACCCTTTAGTATGTATACCTTAGCAACATAAAATACTTAGCAACATTGACCCCTCAAGATAAATTTTCAGTGGATAAACTTCATCGAAAAAGAATTTTGGACAACTTTTCAGAATTTTTCATTGTAACAAAATTTCATTGTCTATATTTAATACAGAGATAGCAACATATTACCAAAATCTTAGAGGCAAAACCATACAGGTTGCTTTTTACTCAATAGGTACTGACTTCATGGAGACTTTTCACACAGAACAGCATGTCTGGAGAGCTAAATTAAGGTGGTATATTCACTCATTTTATGCAAAGGTGGCGTCAAAAAAGATGCTTTTAACATTCAAAGAGCCTCCACTCTGTATCTTTATGGTATGAAAGTTTATAAACAAAGTACAATTAAAAGTATAAGTGTGAATGTAAGTATAAGATTTGGAAAGAGCATAAGACTATCTCAAACAGGAAAAGTTGGTCTGGAAATTTTGCTTTCTGTAGATTTCAAAATAGGGTTTAAAAGTGCAAATATCTTGAACAAATGTTGCTGAATATAAAATGAATTGGAATTTTAAATTTTGCCAGGGACACTGGATGTGAAAGATTTTCAAAACAATGAGAAATTGCATGAATGCACAAAGGGAGTCAAACTCAAATTTGCTCTGCATGTATAAACCCCCGTTGACACATTTAGCATGCAAAACATCAGTTGGTTGTAACAACACCAACAGCATAAGACTTATCAGGCGCTTTCCTGCCACAAAATCAATTTTGATTGATTGACCAAATTATTTTTCGAATAATATGCCGCTTTTGCAGTGGCGTAGCGTGAGCGCAGAACTTAGGCATGCGGTTACATAAAATATACGGCTATGTTGAATAAATGTAATGGTAATTTCAGTTTCTAAAAAATACAAGCGGTAATTAATGATAATCATGATAGCAAATTTTGATTTTCAAAGTATTTTCAAAGTAAAAAATCATTTGTACTCTAATTCTAATCAATCAAGGTGTCTATTCTTAGCATCAGAGGCTCCGATAGAGGTTGGAAAGTGAAGAGGGGCCAAGGGAAAAATTATCACCCATGCGAAAGTTTTTGAAAAAAGCTCAATTGTTTAGCAAGACTTTTCAGAATAACTCCTAGTGCTAAAACTGCTTTGCAAAAGATTTTATTCTTATTCATATTCCTCAAGAAAAGGCATCACCTAATGCCCACCTAATGTAAGAATTTTTTATGCTATAATGAAGCTGGGGATTCCCGCAAGAAGGAGCTCTCCACATTGCGAAATTGTTAACACACTGCAGAGCCTAAGCGAACAGGAGCAACAGTTTCTGCTCATTTTTTACTCTCATAGTTAACTAAGATGAAAATAGTGAGCTGTGAGAGTTGTTAGAATTGAAGATGCTTCCATGTGTAAAGTTTCAGAAAGTTAGACCCGGCAAATCATGTATTTAGCAAGGCTTGTGCTCAGGTCTACCGCATGCCCTGGTCCGTAAATTCTGACTATACTGGCAAGCCTTTTGACTTGAATTACGGAATGCGGATCATGACAAATAGACTCTGACCCCACTTTGACGAAACTTTTTCTCTTTTCAACAGTCACAAAGTAAAGAAAGGAAAATAATTGGATTTGAAATGATGTATCACGCAAAGAGTATTCGCAAAAAGCAGCTTATAGGTAGAAAAATGTTGTGGATTATCAAATATTTGGGAAGGCTTGCGCTCAGGCCGACCGCAAGCTCCAGTCCGGAAAATTCTCACTTCTCTCAGAAGCTTCTTTCGAGTTGCACTGAAGCTGCACTGGAGCATCACATGTTTCTCTTATCTTGGACAGGCAAAAAGAGTGATGTGGAGGGGCTTCAGTTTTTCAGATTTTTCGAATTTCATAATTTTTAGCGATCTGTTTACTTGGAAAAATAGCCAATTGGCCCCAATTGGCCTGTTGGCGCTAGAGTTCACTGCATGCTGCTCATGACAAGAAAGAGAAGCCGTTTATTGCGGAAATTGTTATGCATTGAAAGTGTTGCAAGAATTTTAGAATTTGTCTATAAATTTTTACGCTTGCGCCGCAAGCGTAGCATACATAGACGCTACGCCACTGCGCTTTTGATGTTTTAAAGGGTATTCAGCCACTGAATAGTTTGTTCTTAGGGTGTTCTTGAGGTGTTCTTGGGGTGTTCTTGGGGTGTTTTTAGGGTGTTCAGCCTGATCTTGGAGTGTGCAGTCTTATAGAAACAACAGCTTTATAACACCATGTCTCCTCCCACGATTCCTTGTGAAAATGAGAAAAGCCTGAACATAAGTTTTTTCCTATTACATGTTTTTAATAACCAGGACGACGATGAAGAAAAAAGACATCATGTATTCGTCAACTTCTTGTTACGTCGTGGACAATTCCAATTAAGACAAATCCATTAAGACATTAAGACAGTTCCAATTTAGGCAATTTCATTATGACAAGTCCATTAAATTAAATTAAATGTTTTTGACTGTGGCTAGAGTCATTTTCAGTATAATTACAGGCAAGAAAAAATCAACTTAAAAAGAAACAGCTAAATGAGGGGGGTCATAAATCATGTGATAAAGAAGTATGCTGGAGGAGCAATCAGGATGCAAGAGAAGACACAAGGAATAAACCAGCAACCTAGAGATTAAACAAGGAATAAAGGCCAAACAAAGAAAACAATGCGGGAAAGAAAGTCAGAAAAAGATCATAGGAAAAGAGGACTGTTGGGAATTAAGCGAAGGTCTGTCCCAGTGTATGAGGAGGCTTTCATGAAAAAGTAGATCAAAGGAGTTGTTTGTTTTGGAGAGAATAGAAAAATCTTCAACAGAAGATATGTGTCCAGTTTTGGAAATATGATTGTGAATGGAGGATTAATTATTGAGAAGCTGTCAATAATGAATAATCAATAATGTAGTTCAGGGTTGAGAAAATGGAACAAGAAGAGGACATGAACAAGATAAGCTAGTGAAAACAATATTATGATATTTCACTAATCTGGCATCTTAATTGCTATTGCTGAATCAGCTTGCATAAGATGATTGAAAGTAGCACTTACCTGTGAAAAAGGCATCCATCATAATATTTACTTGCACAAAGAGCTAAAAAGTTCTGAAAAAGAACATACAAGTGTAAATTTATTTTCATCAAACCTAAATTTAAAACAATAATAATTTGGAAGACCGTTTGTATATTTGGCACAAATGCAAAACCAATTGGTACCTACAAACCCTGTCTCGAAGAGAAAATCAGCTGAAAATTAGAATCACCACAATTACATTCATTGCACTGATCCTAGATACAATATACAGCCATTCCATAGAAATGACACATATTGATGAAAAAAAATATTTTGGAATTTGAATGTGAAAAGTTGCTTTTTAAGTGGTAAAATACCTTGCTTAAGCATATTTATGATTTCATTTCCCGAAAATTGCTGATAATGGGCGTGGCTATGGTTATACCTGACCTTACTATTGCTAAAGGTCATTGACAGACACTTGTACCATTTTAAGAAAAAAGCTCTCATTATTGACATAAATGAGATTTTGTGGTTATTTTCATGTTTGTTCATTCCTTTTATATGAGAGAATGTCTATGCAGTCAAAAAAAAATTTTTAAGTAATGAATAATTATGTAATGCCACACTGAAAAGACCCTCTCTGAATGGTCACACGAGTCACACTTTTCATAATAAAAGTACTCTCATTTGTCTCCCTTTAATTCTTGTTTCATTAATTGGAGCATAGTTTGGCTTTCAAATGAAAGTCCATGCTGACCTAGAAACTGAAATTGATCAGCCCAGTAATTTTCACAAAAAATCACCCTCAAGTTTTGTCACGCGAGTCACAATACATCAGTCACATTAGACTAATGGGTTGGATTTAGGTCTAGACAATGTCAAGGAATTAATTTCTTTATTTGGGTACCATATATCAGTTATAGACATGAATAATACTCAATGATATGGAAGAATACTAGTTTCTCATGCAAATGAGGCTGTAAATCTCTTTTCCATGTTGGTACCCAGTGCCAATGAAGTTGAGAAAATACTAGAAAGCTATTAAGGTGGAGACATATCATTTCCCAAATTGATTGAGCCCAATATAGGTCATTGGTATGCTGTTTACTGGGAGCCAACAGACTATTGGTTCCTGGGGCATGTAGTGAGAATTGACTCAAATGATGATGTCACAATGGAATTCCTACATCAGACTTCAGCTGATGCAAACAATTTCAAGATAAAAAATGATATTGAGTCTGTCTCTGTTTCTGATATCATTGTAAAAGTTGATGCCCCTATGCCAGTCTCATCATTGAGGTGCTCAAAAGTAAAGTTGACAGAGCAAGACTTAACAAAAATAAAGGAAGCCTTTGATAAGTTTCATGAAAACTGAAAAATAATTTTTAAAATACCAGATATGCCAAGCTATTGATTTGATGGCCTTTATGTATCATTTAGTTCTGTGAAAAAGTTCTGATTTTTATGTTACACTTCCAGACACTGATTTAAGCTGGGTTTCCTTTAGTTAACTCTCACTTGTCATGCGAGTCACATTTGTGGGTCACACGAGTCACATTGCATTGGTCTTTTTATTTCAAAAAGCAAATATACCTCAATTGAAATTTTCTACTTATATGGTGACTCAATGAGTAGGGGCAATCTTTTTAAAAGCTTCTTCATAAAGGCTTTAAAATTTCTCAGATAAAGTAAGATAGGCAACTGCAAGTAAAGACTTTCAAAATGTGATGGTCACACGAGTCACACCAGATGAACAAAAAAATTGCATAGGTGAGCAAGTTTTTTTGGAACAAAACATTGCCAAGATAAAGAATGGCTCAAGGGGATTCTATTATTGTATCACAAGCTTTGGAAAATAATTCTGACTTTACTAGACAACTAAATATGTGTGTGACTCTGTC